TGGTTACACTTCCGATTTCATAAGGGTGACTCGTAGTCTTGAACCCTATCTCAGACAATGTAGCACACCGGATCTTTTCATTGAGTGATATTCTCTCATAGGCCGTGCGTTTATGGCCATGCACGTTATCCCGGTTTAGTGAACGCTCTAGCAACTTTGTGCCTCCAAAGTTCCATAGGGAGCGGCCCCACTCCCACATTCACATAGGTGAGTCTATCAGAAGTACCCCCAAAGTAAAGTACTTCACTCCACATAGAGTATAGATCTCATTAAGAGTTTAACTCAACCTCCAAGGCTTTGGGATTCATGCTTCACTATGCATGAACTTTTCTCAATATTACTCATGACTTGTTATTACCCATTGAACCCGTTTCTTGGGATCTCCAGTCTATCGGGTCGGGTTACCATCACTTGTAATCCGTGGTTCGGTAGGCATAAGTCTCATACCCTTTGTGGTATTTTGGACTTTCTCTCTAGATAATCTTTTCGTCAAAGGATCAACTAGATTCTCTTAGGACCTTACAGGATCCACCCTCATTGCTCCTATCGTTAGGAGTTCTCTTACAGTACTGTGCTTACGACAAATTTGTCGTCTCTTTTCGTTCTAGAACCGGTTCCCTTCTTTAGTAATAGGTGCGGTGCTATCACAATGAATCAACTACCGGAGGGATCGGTCTTTCCCATAAGGGAATCTCTAGTATTGACCCTCTCAATCAACTTTCCTCTTTACTAGCCATTGCTAGTTCTATCATTTCCGATTTCTTAGTTGATTGAGCCGGGATCGTTTACTTCTTAGACTTCCAAGACATAGCTTCTCTATCGATGTTTAAAACACATCCTCTTGTTGTCCTGGAGTCCTCTATAAGGTATTCTAATCCGCATCATTATACCCTACCAATACAGCAAAACCCTTGATAACAAATACCAAGGTTTTCCTGTTCTTTTAAGGTGTCGCATGACCCCTGTCAATAGCATTTCAATGCTTCATACTAACACAATCAGTAAGCCTGCCAAGTACCCCCCACTAAATCGGGTCTCATGTTTATCAGCTGCCTCTCGCAGACTGTAAATGCTAGTATATTCTAACTTCCTTACACCATCTTAGGTGTTCTTTAAATATTTATACTAGCATCGTCAAACATGTATGCAGGTGTACATCTTGTATTTTCCTAGTTATTAGGATCTCTAAGCATAACATCTGTTTCATTCAGATCCTTCACATTCAAAATTCTCAACCATCATGGTTTTTCAATATTGACATCACGAGTCTTTGTACCAAAGATCGACTTGTCATTCATAATGCAAGTGTCATTCTCAAATTTGTACTAAATGCACTTGTCACTTTCACTTTTAAAACCATGAGAGAGAACCTGTTTATTCATGCCATCGTCTTAGAGTCTATTTCAAATCTTACAATGATTTGTCTAACTATAGACTCCTTAAGCATGTTCAGGAATAACAACCCTGTAGGTTGTCCCATGTAGATTTTCCTATCTAAATCACCATTCACAGAAACATGTTTAACAATCCATCTGACGCACAACACTAGCAATCAGAACATACATGGATGTTATTCTACATATGGTGAATAGATAACAAGAAAATTTACAATTTTTCCTTTTCGCTTAAAGCCTTAGCTATTAGGTGATCCTTATACTCATAAACTAAACCAATAGGTTTCACTTTTCTTTTAAGAATCCATTTATTACCCATGACTTCATTGCCAAGAGGTAATTCTCAAAGATGCCAAATCTTGTTCGATTCTATCGATATATTACCCAAGGCTTTTCAACCAAGAGGTAACTCTACAAGATTTTAAGTCTTATTAGACTCCAATAATTCCATTTCGTTAATAATGGATTCTCCCACAAATCTGCATCTTTATGGAAGTTCGAACTTCTAGCAGACTTGTAGGATCTCTTCTTAGGGTGTAAATAACAAATTCATAACCAAAATCTTTTCGCGATCTATGGTTCATTTGTCTCTTCTGAGTTCATACCCAGATTCATCACCCCCACTAGATCCATTATTTCTAATAGTAGGCAGGACACTACCCCCACTATTTCTTTATTTAAAATGGAAGTTTATTGGCATTAATGGATTTCACAACAACATGAATATTTCGTTTCATAGGAACTATGTGTTTTTATTGTTGACAACATAAAACACACTCAAATGCTCTTCTAGTTATCATGCTACACTGATTCTCTAACGCTACCACATGCATGCCACATATCGAATAATCAGTGCAATCAAAATGCAATTAGGCATTTCAAACCATTTCAAACAACTAGTCAGAAAATTAGAGCACTCTAAAGAGCAATAAATTATTTATTGTCTTTTCCATCAAGTTTACCCACATAAATAAGATCTATTTATTCTGATTCTCTAGTCACATAGTTATGGGTCATTTAGCTTGGATATAGAAAATTCATATTTTTCTCAAGCATTCAATAATAATATGGGAATGTGATATAAGATATTCTAATTCTTCACATAGACACACTTGGAAGAATTTATCTTATCTACTTAACCATTTCTTACATCTAGGATAGTCAATGACTTTCTAGAGGCAGGGTTCTCTTCCACTTTTCCAGAACCATCAACAATAGTGGTGAGGGTCTTGCCCAACAACACTTTCTCCTTCAATACGCGTCAATGTATGATTGAGCTTAGCTCGTTTATCACACACATATCTTGAAGCGGTCCTATCCAACAACCATTCTTCAGAGTTACCATTAAGGCTAACCTCTGTCATCACCTCAGTGAATATTATTACCAAATCCTCTTCTTTAGTCAAGTTAACACTAGGTTAAACTTGGTCTTACACTTTCGTGTCTTATGACCTAGTTTCTCACAAATTTAACAGAGAAACATAATGCCATTCTTAGAGGATTGGGTGACAAACTTATGGTTACCACAAAGGGTACCATTCCATTTGGTATGGATCTGGTTCGGCTTGCTGCTCTAATTCTTGAAACTTTAATGTTTCACAACAACTTAAGTGGTTCGTGTAGTACTGATAATAGTACTTCTTATAATATCGTTATTATGGACAATAAACCCATTCTATTCCCATATATTCTTCATATGCACAAAATCGTTCTATTCCACAGCATGTATCCAAATTTCATACTCGATGTAACACATCTCAATTCGACATAAACATGCATATACCATTGAATTCTATTCATCAAGGAAAGCACTGTCTCAATGTCATGCACGTCTCAATGTCATGCATCAATTCAAATTTCTATGACGTTCTCAAGATGTCTTAATTGCATATATATGAAATATATTCTCATTTATCATTTATCAATGATTCATAAAAAAGTTTTGGCTCTTACCTCTTTCTGATGAGTCATTTCACTCATTTTGCACGAATTGCTGGCACCACATCTAACTTCTCTGTTTGAGTTTCAAGCAAATTATTCTTTCACGACTGCAAGTCTGCGATCATTGGAGGAGCCATAAGGTGTTCGTTCCAGCACTTTAGAAGAGTCGTACACCCACGAGCTGGCTCCACCACTCCGACTCCACGTCACCTGGGCGGATCTTTTACACCCTTACACTCGCCTCGTTATTGCATCCATAAGGAAAAAGGAGGATCAAGTCATATTGGCGGGGTGCACACAATATAATAATAATAAAGCTCATTGTAATAATAATAAAGCATATAAACAAACCCACGAAAGTATAACTTAAGGGCCCAGATTAAGAAGGTAAATCCTTCTTCCATCGTGCACATGGTTCCAGCCCAGATTACCTCCAGTGGTTCTTCATCATTCGGATTCCATCGGCTCTGATAGCAGCCGCAACACAAAAATACCGGTGCAGCTCAAGATTCTGCTAGCATTCATCTATAGAGGAAAACAATAAACCCAAGAGAACAAAACTCTACTTTTTATTCTGATTTTATATTTTCAATTGCAACGTTGCCGTAAGGGGGTTTCAATTCTCATTGCCTTCTCCTTGCTAATTGCATATATCTATCTCCAATCTCGTGGCGGCCAGATAGTACAACGCTGACCGTCGGAGGGAAACCGACGGATACCACTGCAAGGACCCTCTCCGTCTCGATCTGTTTTACTTATGAACAAAGGCAGTCAATTGCAATTTGTATAAGAACGATCAACTGGACAATTTGAGGGCACAAAAACTCTCGCGGAATTGAGAAGGACCCGAAATTACTCCCTTCCTTTCTCTTCCAATCGCCATTGTCTAGTCACCGCTGTGTGCGTCTCGATTCCGATCACCGGTTCCGTGATTGAGATTTGCAAAGCCAGATACGATAATCTGTTCGGTCGACTTGACAGTAACACAACGTCTTAAAATTGTTAGAAATCGAACAGAAAAAATTAGGGTTACCGATCTGGCTGAGTCGCGGACTAGGTCGCTCTCTTTAAGACGTTCGCGGCACTGCCTTCGTTGCGCACGGCAGACTATCAGCCGGTCGCCTCCAGGATAAAACAGTCATTCTTATTTTGTTGCTCATCGGTTTTGTGCGAAAACCGGAGCTCTATGAACTCACTCTCTATCTCGTGTTTATGCTCTCTGAGGTGTGTTTAGAGGGTCTAGGGGTCTGCTATTTATAGGAGCAGAAAACCTAGAATATTCCCTCTTTCTTTGGGAATAAGCCACATTTTAATTAGGAAGATAATTACTTCCATAATTAAAATATATTATATTATATTAAGATAATTAATCCTAATTATCTCCATAATATTCTTTTTATTAATTATCCTTCCTATTTTCGTATCTAGAAAGAATACGGGATAATTAATTCAGTATAGCTTTCAAAGCTATTCATTCCCAACATCAAGTAGGTTGTTTTAATTTAAGGGCACTTGGGGCCGTCTTGCTGGGTCTTCCAGTTGTTGTAGCAAGGGCAGACAGCCTTGTTGCCGTAGTAGCCTGGAGGGACGCAGAGGCACTTGCTGCAACACTTTTGGCAGAAGAACATGCACGGCTTGTGGTACTGCGTCCTGCTGCACCTCCTACTACACTGCGACGGGCACTCTGCATGCAAAGAAATAGAAAACGGTAAAAATAAAAAGAAAGTTACCCTCTATTCTAGACTCTAGTACATCATTAGTCAACAGTCAGCACATACTGTGCCGTTTGACCACGGTCAAAACAGCAGAGGGGAAAAAGAAGAGCAAGTAGCTTACGGTTGCTTCTCAGACTCCCCGGCCCATATTTGCTCTGCATCCAAATTGTAACGACGACAACAAGGAACAAAGTCAGAAGCAAGTTAACGTTTCGGTCACATTGATAAAAGAGACCCACAAGTTATCTAAGGTGTGGTTACCTTAGCTTGTTGTTGTAGTGGTGGCCGCCGTGTCCATGGGAAGCCATAACCTGCAACCAAAACACAGGAGGAAACTAATTAAGGAGTAAGAATAGCTGACTATAAGTCTTCTTCTGATTGCTACATTGTGACTGTGGAAGCTGAAGCCAGGGAAGGAAGAAAGGACAGAAAGTGTTAATTACCAGAGTTTGGAGCATGGAAATGGCGATGATGAGTGCCATGAGAAACACAATGACACCCAGCTTGGCCATGGAGCGCTGGTTCCTGAGAGTGTAGATGGACTGTGATGAGAGAAAACCGGCCAGATGGTCGATTAAGACTTAAGAAGAATGAGCTAGCTAGCAAGGTGGGTGCCTATTTATAGACTGATGAGAACTTTCTTCTTCTTGGTCCAGAGATAACATGAAAATGAAATGCAGGATCATTATTTTCTGGGGGGAAGCAAAGCAAGGGGCAGGAAGCATTGATTTTCCAACACTCACTACAGTAGTTACGCCGCTTTATCTTTTTACGCGATGCTGGATGACTGTTAATTCAAAGTTAAGGCATGAAACATGACTTTTTGTAATTATATATGATTATCGATTCAATTATGATAACTGATAGGTCCAATCAGATCCCAGATGATGATCTCTAGAACGATAATAGTGTGAATTATGCATCCCCCTATTAATTGTTTAATTCCCACTTTTTTCCTTGATAAGGGCCTTAAGTTCATGAGCTTTAATTTGCAGTCCATTAGTAAAGCTACCTACCTGAAAATTAACATGCGCATTAACAGCACAAAAGAGAGAATGGCCGGCCCTTCCCCATACTGTCCCACATATCAAAGATCGATCAGCAATCAATAAATTCTTATCGATCAGCTTTTTGCATCCATCCACGATAAGGCAGGCAGGCGATCCACCATTCACGGCATTAGATGAGTACTCAACTTGTTGCCCTTGAAATGTAATTATCGCTCTCATGGATGGATAAAGGAATGGAGATGATCACTTTCCATCGACTCTGGGTTGGTAGTGAAGTAGGTAGCCAGCAAAGGGTTGCCTTGGGGGCTAGGGCTATGCTGGATTTAATTGCACCGTCCGTCACACAACATGGCAAATTAAACCAAAATAGACCACTAATCCATTCTCATGCAAGTGGAATCGCGGCGCCGCATCCAATCTTCTTACTAGGTAGAATCATTAACTATATGGACTGATGTGTACATTTGGATTTTGGGTACCAGAACCAGGTAGTTAATTAATTATATGGGTTGATGTGATGATCACCACTCATTGTATGCTAATTTCATGGTCTAAATACTTTTTATATGAGTTGTGTGACTTGTCTTGTCTTGTCTTGTCTTGTCTTGTCTTCTCTTCGACTTGGTACAAGCAAGACATGGTGTTAATTTGTGGGTGTACATTTTATCCAAGTATAGTTCTAGATTCGACTAATTGAGATTTCATAGTGCGAGATTGATATGTTCTCTTAGAGAATAATATTTTATTTTGTAAATCTTCTATTAGGATTATGTTGTGAGGCGGATATCTAAGCTATATTTATTGAACCACATAGGGCTGTCAATTTGGTTTTGGTTTTTTCGGTTTTAACCGAAACCAAACCAATTGGAAAGCTAATGGTTTTTGTTTTCGATTTTAAACCAATTAGCAACTTAATGGTTTTTGGTTCGGTTTAAACCGAAAAAAACAATAGAAACCAATAAGAATGAACAAATAATAATAAAATTATTTATCAACAATTTTTTTTTTCTTTCGATACGCATGCCAAACAATAATTTGTAATGGTCATTTTATCATTTACAATTATTATGACATTTATTCAATAAAAATGAGGGAAATGGAAATAAATATGAGTGTATGGGTACATGTTGGTTTTTTGGTTATCCAAACCAAAACCATTAAGGCCCTTAACCAATAAGGGCCTTAATGGTTTTGATTTTGGTTTTTGGTTTCTCATACTTAATGGTTTGGTTAACCAAACCAAATTGACAATCCTAGAACCACATTAAATAATAAATATTTATTCACTATATAAAGCCTAGACATGCCAAAAGTGTTAAACACAAGCTTCATCTTGCTCTAATATCTCCACAATAATTTTATTTCAGAAGTTACTCTAAATATCTAAAGTTTAATTCTACAAGTACCTACGAAAATTAAACTCCTACTTAGCACGAAAAGTAACAACCGTAAAAGATTGTGTACATGTTGGGAGTTGGGACTATGACTTGGGCCTGGCCTGCCCTGCCCTGCCCAACGGATCGAGTGGGCCAGCCCATGAGAAGTGAAAATTATAAAGGCAGATAAAGCAATTTGGGGGGGGGGAGTAGATAATATAATTGCAGCTGGGCTACGTCCGTGCGTCGGGTCCGGATTATAATCCTTTTTGTCATTATGATATCAAATAATTACATAATATATATTTGAAATGATAAAAATTGGACTAATTGAGTTGGTCGAGGTTGTACCATTGAATAACTTTAAAATACATTAGATTTTAGCCACTAAGATATAAAATAATAGCATAATATATATTATGCTAGAGAAAATAGTTTGTTTTAGAATGGCAAACCCATGATGTTCATTTGTTTTACTTGATGGGCAAATCCCGTGTAGGTCAGACCCATTCAACTCTTTTATTTTATGATTAGCGGTTAGCCCATTAGAATCCATGCATTAGTTTATTGTTATTTTTTTTCTTTTTAGCAATAAAAAGGAGTATTGTTTTTTCCTTTTCATATATATATTTTACCACTACGGAGAAATAAAAGGACTTAAAGAAAAAAATTGACACTCCTGGACCCGTTTAAATCCGCATGTGTTCGGTAAGTTGGCCTGTTCCACAGAGGAAAAAGAAAAAAATTGACACTCCCTACTCTACTCTTCCTACAAACGCTCCTGGAGCAAGGAATTTGAAATGGGGGAAGAGTTTTTTCCTCTCTGCAATTATATGTTTTTAATTTAAAAAGAAACAACAAATGTACTTAGTGTGATTGGTTATGATCTGTGTTTTTCTTTAAAATGGTCATGGTTCGAATCCTAGTAAGTGTCTTTTTAATGAATAAAAAAAAACTAATTGTGAAGACCAAAATGTCCTTCCTACTTTCACTCTGGATACAGGAAATTTGAAATGGGGCTTCAAGTTTTCTCATTTGGCTTTTATTTATTGTGTAGATAGATTAGGATCTGACCCATTCTTGTTTGGACGAAACAGACGACGTTGAATATGGTTAGGGATGTACATGTAGGTATGTGCAACCACCATCACATAATAATGTACCAAAATACAAGATTACTTACTTCATCAAAACAACCCTCAATCAATCTCTCCAGTTTAGATATTTGACAAACACCAAACATTCGACGAAGAAAACAGGAAAATGAACGCCAAAAACTCACGAGGGACAAGAAATCATAATCTGATCAAGAGGCCCCGCAAGCATGACAGCACGACAAAGACCAGAGCGGTCGTTCTTATCCGAATCAATTTCTTAGTTGATTTTCGCTCCGGTCGCTACCTCCAAATATCACTGGGTCACAATCCATCGTCGACGCTCCCTGTCTGGGTGCTCCTTTAGATTCAAGCTTCCTTGGAAGTAGATCGGTGGCGGTTGGAAATTGGAAATTGTCCGTACGATTCTTTGCTCTAAGTTCGATTTGTTGTTCTCTTTTACATGCAAATTTTGGCCAAAGCGTTGCTGAGAACCATGAATTGGATGTTGATCGCGATGCATGCAGGTTCTAAGTGGCTGCCTAAAAAATTGATTTGAGTAAGTATCCAGAAATCGACAATATTTAGTATATTTATCCAGCTACTGCAATATTTAGTTTATGGTTGAATCTTGATTTAGGTAATCGACAGTGACAACAGCTTTCATGTACATTCATAATAGCACAAGAAGTATGAGCATATTTTTTTAATGATATAGTGGACTTTATTTGGCAATGCATAAACAGAAAACAAAATTGCGTGAGTTCGACGAAGAAAGCGAGCTCTTCGCCAATCTTTGGAAGAGTGGTCGACGAGGACCTAGCAAGGAAGCACTCCGACCAGCTGAACTCCGTCGTCAGGTGCCGGTCATGTCGAGACGTGTCCCAGCCTTTCTACATGAAGCTCCCTGCCACCACCCTCACCATGTGCCCTTCATGCCAGTGCGTCGCCACGACCAACACCTTCACCGCTTTCGCCGCTCCCGCCTCCACCTCCCCAAGCCCAATCACCACCGTGACGGCTGTTGCCACAGACGACACCAACAATTCATCAACAACATTGTCTTTCGGTAAACCTGGCGGTGGCGGTGAAAGAAATGGCAACAACAGTATTGTGTGCATCAGTTCCACAGCAACAGCACCAACCTCAACCTACCCAACCAACCGCATCATGACTCAAAAAGGAAGGCTACAGCTCCTGAGAAACCACATGAAATGGTTGGGGAGAATAACAATGAATTCCATTAAATGACCATCTCATGAACAATTATGCAACTGTAGAAGAAACAAGTAGAACAAAAAAAAAAGAATGAAAGAGCACCCAACGGCTCGAGAAAGGAAGAAAATTGTGAGAATCCCATTCAAAGCTATGAACGGTTTTATAGGAATGGAAATGGACAGCGATGTGATGGTACAAGCACATGCAACAGCATTAAACGTTTCCAATAATGCATGTACGGGACAACAACAATGCACATCAATAATAGGGACCCAAGCATAGTGTATGTCCCTTTCATATTGAATACAAGAAGACAAAATAAAGAAGAACGACCCAAGCATAGTGTACGTCCCTTTCATATTAAATACAAGAAGAAAAAATAGAGAAAAACGACCCAAGCATAGTGTACGTCACTTTCATATTAAATACAAGAAGACAAAATAGAAAAGAACTCACCTAGTCGCGTCCGCAGGGGAGGATCTCCTCCTTAGCTACAGTTCGCTTCCTTTCAAAATTATATATTATAATTAGATAGAGATGTGGACCAAGGCCCAATCTGAGGGTTCGTTGAACTTTCAGTCCATGGATTAGCCAATGACACAGATGTCTGGGTCACTGATGGTGGTGGGCGGTGACCTCGGACTGTTGGGTTTTGTAGTGCTAGTTTGCCTTTGGCCGGGATTTTTTAAATTCTTTTCCATAAACCGTTTATTAAAATTCAAAATATTATTTTTTTATCATTATCGAAAAAACTCAATAAATAAGAATTTATTTATAAGAACATGTTTATTTTTATTCTTACATGTTATTTAATAGACTCGAAACTAAAAACTTCAAAGTAATGGAAGACTTCTAGGCCAAGCTATTGTCCGCTTTCATGTTAGAATTTTGTAGTCTGAACTATTATACATTGTATTTCAACAAATTATTTCATATTTTATATACATTAGTACATTTAATAATAACTTTTTAATAATTTTATCCACCGTTCAAGGGGGGCATTGTTCTTTTGCCCATTTTCAAATGGTTCTTCTTGAAGTTAGACATTAATTACATAATTTGCTTGTGACTTCTCTCATAAGCCTCTTCTATCAAGCCAATTATTAGTATTAAGAATGATTTGAACTTTCTATAGTTTCTCAATCAGTTGTGAAGATTTTTAGTCAATATGTTTATATTTCTACCAATTTTTTTTATTTCCACCCTTAATTTACAAAAAAATTGAAACACGTACCTCATGGTATGGTTTGAGAAAACTATAAAGGATGACTTGGTAAATCATTTTACTTCAGAGCGATTTTAGTAATTTATGGACCCATAGTTTTTTTTAACCGGAAAGGACACATATAGTTGTGCGTATTATATATTCATATTTTCTAGCTTGGAAATAGAAAAGAGATCGCGAATGAGAATTGGGTTAGCACAATACTAACCTCATATTTTAATTTCATATCCAACGGTATATATTATTAGCGATAGTTTTGAAATTTAAAAATTAAGTCAATTAAAATTTACATTTCACAATAAAAATACTAACAAATTTTCTCTCTCTCTAGCCCTCTTCCTCCTACCTAACGCCTCTCTTTCTCTTTCCTACCCTCACTTCTCTCTTCACGTAAGAATAAGTAGGGCTGGTAATCGGTCGGTATTCGGTATACCGGAACCAGACAGTGTACCACCGAATACCGATACCGAATGTTATCCGGTATACCGAATACCGAATAGTCGGTATCCGGTATACCGAATAGTCGGTATCCGGTATTAGAACCGGTATACCGAATACCGGTTAATGCATCGAGAAGAGAAGAGGAAGTGAAGAGAAGAGGGCTCGGGCTGCTGCTGCCCCTGCCTGCTGGGCGATGTCGAAGTGAAGAGAAGAGGGCTCGGGCGCTCGGCTGCTGACGAAGAGGAGCTGCTGGCGCTGGGGTGCTGACGACTTTCGCGGCGAAGAGTGCCCCTGCCTGCTGTGCTGACGACTTTCGCGGCGAAAGGCAGCAGGGACTGCTGCTGGCGACCGATGCTGGCTGCCGCTGCTGGCGACCGCTCATGGTTGCCGATGCTGGCCGGCGGCTGGGTTTCGTCTCCTGAGGAACAGAGACGAGGTGGAGGGCGGCTGGAGAGGAACAACCGAACAGAGACAAGGACGAAGTGGTGGAGGGCGGCTGGAGAAAAATTGGCTTTAGGCATTTAGGGTTCTCCAATTCCGCTACGCTGCTGTTTTCTCTTTTTTTTTTTAATTCGGTATTCGGTATAAATTAATCGGTATTCGGTATATAACTAATCAGTATTCGGTATACCGACTGGCCAAGAAGTGCAGCCGAATATCGATACCGCCGGTATTCGGTATACCGAATACCGATTGTAATCGGTATACCGAATACCGATTGTAATCGGTTCGATACCTGGTTGATTTCTTTTATCGAGTAACATATTTGGTTTTTATTATCAAGTAATTATGACAATTGATGTATTTTTTTTAGATGATTTTAGGCTTGGTTTGTACATCAATCTCATATGTGCAAGTAAAAGTCAATGGATCCTTGGTGTATTAGTGACTAAGGTCTTAATTTCTTAGCATTTAGTTTCTGAACTCTATAACAAAGGATCATTTTTTACGAACAAGGGATTGGTCTAGTAGAATTATTAAGCAGTTACCAGCGCGGGGAAAATGAGGCGGAAGAAAAAAAAACTATATGCTGACGTGGCCTCACGATATGATAGGGAATTTGAAACGAAGAAGGTCTTTTTGAGAAACCCTATAATATATTTTACATGGAGGATACATATATTGTTTGAAATGTAGCTTCTTTTTTTTTTGTTTTTTTAGTAGAAATAATACATAGATTGATTTTGTGAGGTGACAAAAACTATCACTCAAAATGAGTGATTGTTTTTTTATAGCAAAATGAGTGATTGTTATATCTCAACTTTTAGTTGTAATTGTTGAGTTGAGATTGTTGAGTCGTAGCTTTTGGCTGATGTCATATACACAATTATCTAGACGTTATATTCTACAATGTATTAAATTCGACAATGCATGCATACTATTATATATGTATTCATAATAATACATCTATTTAACGACCCGTAGTTTATTTTGGCCTAGAGATATACATTATGCTCAGTTGCCTTGCCTAGTTGCCTGACCTTCGAATTTGGAATTTGAGCACAGAAGCTCAGTTTGAGATGAGCGGAGGTCGAGCCCCCCACAAGCAGAAATTCGACCTTCCCCAACCCTAGTCCCCACACATAGCCCACAGTCCACATGCATTAAAATCACAATATATTTGTTAGCATGTACAGTATCTCAAGCACGGGAGTAAAAATGAACGATTTTTATTCATGCATCGTCCTCGTGGTTGGGTTATCCGTTCTGTACCTCAAGCACAGGAGTAAACATAGATGACAACAACATTTAACTTTAGTTAGTAGCGAGCTATCGAATGAGCGTAGTCCAAACTCCAAACTCCAAACAAACTGCCTTGTGCTCCTGTACCACAAACGCCACCGCATCTGGAGTTAGCTTAATCACTAATCTTGCAATGCTTGTAGATTTTCAGGTCCTTCTAACGACCATATTCGCTAAAGACACCAATTAGTTGTTCAAGATAAAGAAAATTTGACCCCATTTCAACAAATGGATCATGGAACAACAACCATGTAGAATATTAGTGTTTTGCGAGGAATGTTTACTTCCTTTAGGACCAGAAAATTAGTGTTTTGCCAAAGGCAATATATACTTCCTTTAGGACATAGGAAATGGATATTTAATCATCAAATCAGCAAGAGCATAATAAAATGTAGTTTGGTGTTGATAAATTAAGGTCAGCACGCATTCATATATATAGTCTTACGAATATGAAATGGTACACAAATTAGTAGTTTCTCTAGGAAGGAAATGCTTCGCCGATCCCGATAGGAATCATAGGATCCCAAGTTAATGAGAGTCCATTTTGGTCCTGCAGAAGCCTCGTGCTAAACTCCAGCCACCTTGGCTTTGCCATCCTGACCATTTCAGTTGTGCTTGCAACAATGTAACCATTTCAAGGGCCTTCTTCAGATCACAATCCTCGGAAAGATTTCCATCAGCTAAGGTTGCTTGAACCTTTCTAGGGTCCAAGAGATCTTTCTGGATTCTGCAACAAGAGAGCACGTACTCACTTATTTCCAAGATCATAATGTTCACCAGCATTTTCAATCTTGTTCTGAATTGCCAGAGACTGAGATTTTAGTGAAACAGCAATTGGGAAAAGAAAACCAAGCAAAACATATTTGCAAACCTTCTCCTTTAGCTCCTTAGACCCTTGCACAAGTCTATCAATCTGTTTCTCCTCTGCATATATAATTTTCTCAAGCTCTAGCCGCCTATCAAGCTCGTCATTCTTTGGCTGTGACGCAACCTCCAAAGATGCAAGCTGCTTCTTAAGATAACTATGGTCCGATTTCAAACTATCGATCTGCAGAAAGGAAAGTTCTTCCAAATTCAGTTTTTTTAGCAACTCATACAAAACAAAGACTATGATAGACACAAGATCACCTCTTTCGGGCTTTTAGCAAGTTCCATCTCCAAATGTGAAACCTGCTTCTCTGCTGTTTGGTAATTTCTCACGCATCAGCAATTCTTTTGCCAACGGCATTCAATTTCTCAACGTACCAATGTTGAGAGTTCCTTCTCATTCTGCATGGATTCTGCAGACACACCAACAGCTCGAACCGATGTACCCATCTTCCCACCCCTGGGTTATTTCCTCCACCACTCATTGTACCAGCTGTAACCACACGGCGGAACTCTGTGTTTCCTTACGCAATTCTGGTTGCCTTGTATGTTTAAAACAGAAGTCAGTCTAGCTTCATTTCAATTTGTTACCAGCATCAATAGCAAATCCCAATTGCATGCAACGAACCAAACTATTCTTGAGACACCATTGTACAATTCACGAAATATTTTAAAGCTTAAGTCATTTGATCATAAGAAAGTTAATAAACTAAAGTGGAAACATAATCACATGGAAATTCACCATTTAGAGAGCTAAGATCTACTCAAAGATGCTACGGTTCTGACAAATGGAATTCCTTCTGCATTAACTTGCCACAAAGATGCGTAAAAAAATAAGACTTAATAGAAACACATAATTCTGATCAGACAGAGATGAAAGGAACTTCAAAGCTATTTTGGGACAGGTCATGCCAATATCAATCTGGAAAAGATCATACATAAAAGGTCTGAACTTAAATCTACTAGTGGCACCATGGAACCAAATTTATTTAATCTTTATCTGTTGCTAGAATATATAGCAAGAGATGGAATAGGAAACTAGATGATACCTGGTCCAGATCCTTGCTACAGCAGTGTTTTGCAGTACATCATAGAAAGCAACTTTCATTCTCTTATCCTAAACCCTTACCAAATCAAAAGGACGTGGAACAGGACATATGAAATGGATAATTTATCCTTAGATCAGCAAGAGCTAAAATGTAGTTTACCGCACCAGTACATGGGGTGAAGATAAATTAAGGTCAGCGCACATTCATACATATAGTCTTACGAATATGAAATGGTAACATAAAATAGTAGTTTCTCTAGAAAGGAAACGCTTCGCGGTTCCTGGTAGGTTCCCAAGTTAATGAATCCATTTTGGTCCTGCAGCAGCCTCGTGCTCACCTCCAGCTAACCTGGCTTTGCCTGAAATGATACTGTCACAGCTCATGCCAAACAAGGGTGTCCAATTTCATCAGAGAAGTTGCTTCCATCCTCATGTTCTACATCTACTACAGCCACCTTAGGCATGATGTCCAGCGGTGCATCCATGAGTCCTGACAGCTTGAGTAAGGAGTCCTCACCCGAATCGCCTAGCAATGTGTCCATGCAACCATCCTCTATTGCATGTTTCAACATTTCGAAAAAAATGTACTGCAATTGCAATCCATCCCTCTGGATGAGGTCATCCTTTACCTGCCTCAACATGCGGACAAGGATGACTTGCAATGCATCCAACAGAACGGGGTCCCCCAGTGCGTGGTTCAGCATGCTGGAAAGGATGTCTCGCCATAAATCCATGAGGACGGACGGCTTGACTGAACTCGTAATGTGACAGCTCCTGTTGTCAGCGGACTTGCATCCATCCTCCTCTTCATCTACCATACTCACCTCTAACATGTTGACCTGCCGTGCAGGTAACAATAATTTCGGGTAACCTCCTTTGAGGCTATTGACTTGTATCTCGTGGATGTAAGGCTGAAGAAGTGGATCCCTGAGCAGCTCCCCTGCCTGCACGAACTCTCAACAGTCAAAGGATATTTTAAAACCAAATATTACAAACAGCATGGCCTTCTTTCTCGAGGATCTCTTTGTGGAAATATGTACTACTATTAAGATCAGTTTGAGAGAACTAGGATGGTAGCATACCGTCGGCCGCATTTCTGGGTCCTTCTGCAACATGCTTCCCACAAGATTTCGACTGTCAAATATGAATAGGAATGGATCAAGCATAGGACAATTTCACTAGAGCATTATTGAATATATATATATATATATATAATTAGTCAAGAGCCAATCAGCTATAACCAGAATTATATAAGATCGGTGACTGACTTACAGAGCATCTGAATATTCAGTTGGAAGTGGACGCACTGGGCCTTTGGTTTCGATAATCACGTCATCAAGATCCGGCTGAAGAGATGGTGGTAAAGTATAAGCAGGATACATGATAGAAGAATATAACAAGTTTCTTGCTACGAGAAACCTCAGCAAGGCCATGAGAACTTACACCATATTGAAGAAATGCATCCTCATGACAAGTCATTGTATACATACAGCAACCTGAAAAAGAAAATTAGAGATGAATATTAACTCGTTGTATGCATTTCAACCATAGGTCGGGCCATATATATGGACGAGGACTTTGACAGTCTGTAACTTACCTAAAGCCCAAATGTCTGGTTTTGGACCGTAAGGTATTTTCTCAAGCAACTCCGGGGACCAAAACCCTACTGTTCCAATATACTGAAAGCATAATTTAGGTTAAAATACAAAGATCTTTCATGCGAGCATATACAACAGCGAAAAATATCACAGATAGTTGCACAGCTGTGCTTATTACCCTAGAACAAAGGTCATCTGGAGAAGTCAAAATCTCTGCACATCCAAGGTCACCTGCTTCCATATTGGTTGTTAATAGGTGAAAGGCAGAAGTTTAAATTACGTGGATGGTGATTATTGGAATGGTTACAAAGATAGCGTACCCAAACGAATGTCTTCATCTTTTGTCAAGAAGATGTTACAAGGCTGGTTCACCATTTCAAACAGAATAATCAGCCAACAATGCCCTAATGAACAGACAATGGTGATATTTTGCTTAAAGTAGATAAAAAAAATTAAAGTGGTTCATGATACCTACATTGATATCACGGTGAAGAATGCAATTTGTATGTAAGAAATCAAGAGCCATGAGAAGTTGAGCAAACCACTTGCATAGCTTCTGAAATCAAATCAGATAATCAATCCGATGGACAACTATGTATGTAAAGGTGAAATTCAAAGATATTGCAGAACTAAAACACCAACTCTGAGAGCATAGGGAGAGAGAGAGAGAGAGCAGAAGTGACCTCTTCGGAGAAAAGCACACCATTGGCGTTCTTTACGGCCTCGTCCATATTTCCTCCGTCACAATAACCTAAGATTAGGCATGCCTTGCCATCCTGACCATTGAAAATCAGCAGCGAATTAAGCGTCCTACTTAATGAAATTAGATCTTCCATACACACAGCTAGCAGATTACCACCCTACCACGAACAACAGAAGTTAGCTAATAACGCGATCGAATATATATATACCTTTTCAACCCATGAATCTTTGTACTCTACAATGAATGGATGTCGTATCCTAGAAAGCAGCTCCATCTGCATCATGTACATGTACATAAGCAAGGCTGGTTCATTCATGACCATAACATATTCAACACTAAAAGCACTCTTCTTTCCGTGCATAGTTGAAATTTGCAAAGAAATAGTAGCACTGACCTCTAGACGAGAATGTTCGTATAGAAATTCATCTTCATCGTCATCCTCGATTTCGGTCTCTTTTAGTACATACCTTAATGGAGCAAAAGATCAAAGTAGAAATTATTGTATCGGAACAGGAAAAACTGACAATCGAGAGAAATAAGGGAAGGTAACCAAGAAAAAAATTAGGGTTCGTCGATCCTCACTCTTTGTTTTCGAGCCTGTGCCTCACAAGAGTAGCGGTGCTGTATGTCCCGCGCCCAATCTGTTTTATTACCTCGTACTGCTCCATGCTTGAAACCCTTTCTTCCCTTAAATACAGACCAAGAATTTTGGTCATATATGAACAAGCAAGGGTCGAACACCACATAAAGAAAAAAGAAGAACTTTCACCCACAGTCGTAAAGGATAAAATTTGAGAACCGGCGGGGGTGTTTCTCTTCTCAGATCCACGAGCTAGATAGAGTAAAGGTCCTCGATCTTATTCCCTTCTCAGCCCCGGCAGCGGATGAGAATTCGGAGGAAGCCTTGGCTTGCTTCGGAGCACACGACCAGTGTAATTGAGCTGGGGTTGGAGGATTTTTAGGGTTCGTGAAAATTGGGGAAAACAGACTTTAGAGAGAAGATGAAGACGAGTACGAAGAGGAAAAGGAATAGCGATTTCACCTTCTTAGTCTCGGGTTTTGGGCTTGAGAGCTACCGGCTTGAAGGAAATTAAAGCACCACTGACCCAAGGTGACGGGATTGAAGAGATGAAGTTGCAGGAAGAAGCTGGTAGTCCTGATGCATCTCGGATTGGAAGAGAACAGAGAAGAATGAAGGTCGACGTCGTCCTGAAGAAGAGAAGCCGCGTTTAAGTAAAAGAAGAAGAACGGCAGCGTATTGTTTATGTACTTAGCCGTTAGGATTTACTGTTTGTTTAAAAAGAATAGCCTATCATGTAAGCCCACGTGGACCATTTCGTTAATGATGATTGTAGCTATAAAAGCTACTTAGACCATCTCCATCCCTGCAATAGGTGCCATTTCATAAATGGACCCCACATCCACATCACCAACTTTAGCAACTATTCAATTCAACCATTTCAAACCACCTACATCCCTACAATAGGTTAGCAATTGCAATTGATGGGACCTACTACATATTCTTTTCCTTAACAATACATTTTATGTGTACAAAGTGGATAGAAAAGAAAGAAAGAAAAAAGAAAGAATTTGAGTGCATGAATGTGTGGATCCCAATTGCTTATGTGGCATTGCAAAGGGGATTGCTTATTTAGCAATCTTGCTAAATAAGAAAGAAGTGCTACATCCTTGCAATTGCTTAAAGCTATTGCCACATAGGATTCCACCCAATAAGCAATAGCAATAAGCAATTGGATGGAGATGGTCTTAGAGCTCAGTTTTCTACTGATCTTCTCTCTCAAATTCTCTGATTTTATCATTTTTCTTCATGGTATCAGAGCAACCCAGACATTAGGTGTGGGTAGCGCCTCCATAATATCTGGCGAACAATCTACGCCGCCGCCTGGAGACCAAGGAAGAGGCACTACCAACAACAACACAGTGGCGGATCCAGGGCTGGGCCAACCCAGGCCCCGGCCCAGCCCTCCTCCGGATCCAGAGTTAGTTTAGTGCTTATAAAATTTTTCGATTTAGGTATTTGGCTCAGTGCTATTTAAAATCCTGTCTAATTTTATTTAATAATATGATTTTGTGTAACTAGAGAAATGGTTCAGATGAACATATCCAAACCATTACTCTAAATTTATACTAAATTTCTATAGCCCCAATGATTTTATTTGAAAAAAGATATGAAAACCTAAAAGTGTAAAGTTTCATTAAAATATAAAAAACTCTAAACTAAAGCACACCCTTCCTTGCAAAATTCAAAAACATTCTCAATCCCCCCCAAAACAAAACAAAAACGAGGAGACGAGCAGAACCAAAATGGATTTCTTCGCCAGTCCGTCGAGCTGGTTTTCTTTCCATTCTTTTGATTAAGAAAATATTTGCAAACTTGCTAAGTTATCATTTAGATTGCCTCAATTGGTGGGGCACTAGATTCTAACCGTTCTTTCTGGTGTTTTGATGAAGAAAATATTTACAAACTTGCTCAAGAGTTTAGCCTCGAGACTTTGAAGGCTATGAGATGCATTTTTTGGAGAATGCACTACTCATGTGAGGAAGATGAAGTTTCTTCTCTTGCAAAATTATTAGAGAAGCTGGAGGAAACAGGGATGGACACACAATACAAATTGATTTGTCGGTTGATTTGTCTAGTGTTGACCTAGCCGTTTCAACAACTACCATGGAGAGAATATTTTCAGCAATGGAACATGAACATTGATTTGTGCAACAAAATGAGCGATGAATTTATCGTTGATTACTTAGTTATTTTCTTTGAAAAAGAGTATATTATCAGTATGGATGGAGATTATATTATTGATGAATTTGCTAAATTAAAAGACTTTATATAATTGGCATTGTAATGAAAGTTATATTATTATATATTTTTGTTTATGATATCTAATATTCTATTCAAATGCGGCCCAGTGCTCTCTTATGTCCTGGATCCGCCGCTGCAACAACACTACAGCTAGTAGCCTCAATGGAGTTCAATTTGGTTCTTTTGGGCAACAACAGCAGCAGCAACCAGAGGTCATCACGTTTGGTAACCCTTTCTTTGGTTGTTGAGTTCTTTGATGGTACAAATTATACAATGTGGAGTAGATCTATGCAAGTAGTTCTGAAAACAAAGAACAAACTGGATTTTCTAGATGGATCTGTTCCAACACCACCTAGGGATTCAGATCTATTTGGTTTATGGGATGCTTGCAACACAGTGGTCTTGTGCTGGATTCAGAACTCAATGACTAAGGAGCTGAGAAGAGCTGTCCTGAATCACAACAACTCGAAGACCTTGCGGGATGAATTAAAAAGGTGATCTTGACAACCTAATGCCATGAGAATTGCTAATTTAGAAGATGAAATACTTGCTTGTAAGCAAGGTTCTCACACCATTAATCAGTACTATACAGTCATTAAGGGTTTATGGGATTAATATGTGGAGTTCTGTCCCATTGTTCCTCAGCACTAATTATAGATGCTACATACAGAGAGATTTGTGTGGTAGCTAGATAGTTGAGAGATGGGGATCCGAAACAATAAATGCCAATAATGGACATTGCAACAACAGACAGGGGCATGCTACTTAAAAAACTCAAAAGGGCCCCTTTTGTCTCCTTTTGCTTCCCCCTCGTCTTCTACAATTGGTCCCCCATTACCTGCAACAACCACCTCCATGTCTAACCAATGGATACATCCGGATCAACCGGCCCGGGTAGTTTTTGTGTCACTCTCTAAGCCAAACCCAACCAAATATAGCAGCAGAATACAACCCACAGACTCAGAGAACTAGGATAACTTTAACAGTAGTAGTAAATGACTAAATGTCATCAAGTAGGCTTTTATGTTAATTAAGGGCACTTGGGGCCGCCTTGCTGGGTCTTCCAGTTGTTGTAGCAAGGGCAGACGGCCTTGTTGCCGTAGTAACCCGGTGGGACGCAGAGGCACTTGCTGCAACACTTTTGGCAGAAGAACATGCACGGCTTGTGGTACTGCGTCCTGCTGCACCTCCTACTACACTGCGACGGGCACTCTGCATGCAAAGAAATAGAAAACGGTAAAAATAAAAAAAATAAAAGACGAAAGTTACCCTCTATTCCAGTCCATCATTGGTCAACAATCAGCACAGCCTGTGCCGTTTGACCACGGTCAAAATTGCAGAGGGCAAAAGGAAGGAAGAGCAGTTAGCTTACGTTTGCTTCTCAGACTCCCCGGCCCATATTTGCTCTGCATCCAAATTGCAACGACAGACGACGAACAAAGTGAGAAAGCAAGTTAACCATTTCATCACATTGATACAGAAAAGACCCACAAGTTAGTTATCTGATCGATGAGGAAGTGTAGTTACCTTGTTGTTGTAGTGGTGGCCGCCGTGTCCATGGGAAGCCATAACCTGCAGCAAAAGCGGATCGGAGGAAGGAAAGGAGTAAGTAGTTTCAAGAAGAGCAGAGCTGACTACAAGTCTTGTTCTGATTACTAACATTGTGATGAGTTTGTGGCTCTGGAAGCTGAAGCTAGGGAAGGAAGAAAAAGTGTTTACCAGAGTTTGGAGCATGGAAATGGCGACGAGTGCCAGGAGAAACACCATGACACCCAGCTTGGCCATGGCTATGATGGGGAACTAGCTAGCTAGATGGACTGTTATTATGAGAGAGCCAGATGATGTGCAAACAAGGATGATTACCCTATTTATAGACTGTTGAGTTGAGAATTTCCTTCTTCTTGTCCCAGTGGTGACATGAAATGGAGGATTGTTTATTCTTTTCTAGGCGAAGGCAAGGGGAAGGCAGCCTTGATTTTCTAACACTCACTACAGTAGTTACACCACTTTATATTTTCATTCTCTTCAAAGTTAGTCACTATGATTTTAGTTTCAATCAAAGAGACTAATTAATGGTTCAAATCACATTTTAAATGAACTTTTTTACAAGGACAACGGTGTGGACTATGGATCTTTATGTGTTTTATTTGCAGGGTAACTTTACTTCGTTTAAGTAGCCTTAATTTCCTTGATAAGGGCCGTAATTTCATGAGCTTTTGCAGTCCATCAGTAAAGCTACCTGAAAACATGCGCATTAAACAGCACAAAAGAGAGAATGGCCGGCCCTTCCCCATACTGCAGTCCCACATATCAAAGATTCATAATGAATAAGATCAGCAATAATCAATAAATTCTGATCCATCTTTTGGCATCCACGATAAGGCAGGCGATCCACCATTCACGGCATTTGAGCACTCGACTTGTTGCCCTCGAGATATAATTATATAGCTCGCTCTCATCTCATGGATGGATAAAGGAATGGAGATGATCACTTTCCATCTCCATTTCCCTCCTCTGCTCTGGATTTAATTGCACCGTCCGTTGCACAACATGGCAAACCAAAATAGACCATTCCATTCTCATGCAAAGTGGAATCGCCGGCCGCATCCAATCTTCTTAGTAGGTAGAATGCATTAACTATATATGGAGTAGTGTGTTCATTTGGATTTTGGGTGTGACGAGGGGTTTGCCTAATCAGGTAGTTAATTAATTATATGTGTGTTCATGTGATGACCACTAATTAAGCCTATACGGTAGGACAATTAAGCTCCACCAAGTGGACTTAAACAAGCCATTGAGACTTAGTCGGATACTCCGAATTCAAAGCTAACAATGTCGATCAAAAGAATAACAATTTTTATTACTTTTCTTACCGTATAGTTAATGGAAAGTTGGTATATACGGACAGTTAAGCAAAGTAAAATTAAAAAAATTTAGAATTATATTTATGGAAATAAATAAATATTAAAATTAGGGAGGAAAGAGAGAGAACAAGCGTATCTGAAACAGATCGTAGTTGGAATCGCCTCTGGATTTGTAACCGCTGCTCTGAAATTGTAACCGTCAAACCCCAAAACTGAAGCCTCCTAATTCTAAAGTGTAACTGCCGGTCGTCGGGATTCGCACCGTCGGAAGCAAACTTCGTGCGCTCGGCGGTGGTGGAGGGCCTTCCGAACATACACCTTCCGATCTCCTTTTCCTCACCGACGGTGGGAAGAAAGCTTCTTTATCTGGATGAAAATCTCGCTTGGAAGAAAGCTGACTCCTCCGGGTGTTGAAGTCACCGCCCACCGGGCTTATTACTAACATCACCAATTCATCATCGCCGTTACATCATAACCCCACCCGAAAACACACAAGATCATTGGATTTCTATCATCTTCCCACTTTAATTTCTGGCTTTCCCATTAAAAACGGATAAAAAAACTTTTAAACTTTAAAATGCGATTTTGATTGCATTTGATTACGAAGATTAAACTTCTACTTAGCACAAAAAGTAAAACCGTCAAAGATTATGTATATGTTGGGACTATGACTTGGGCCGGGAATACCCAATGGGTCTAGTGGGGCAGCCCACGAGAAGTTCAAAATTATAAAGGCAGATAAAGCAATTTGGGGGGAGTAGATAATATAATTGCAGATGGGCTGCGTCGGGTCCGGATAATAATCCTTTTTGTGATTTCACTGATTTGATTAATACGTTCTGTTGTCCATTTGACCAAAAAATTGGCAGTTACTTACACCTCATCCTCTTGTCCTTGAAAGGGTGGTGATAATATGGGAATTAGGAACTGACCCATTCTTGTTTGGACGAAACTGAATACGTTGAATATGGTTAAGGCTGTACATGTACGTATGTGTGACCACCATCACATAATAATGTACCAAAACACAAGATTACTTACTTCATCAAAACAACCCTCGATCAATTTCTTCCGTTTTGATATTTGACAAACATGTTCTATTATAAACGCGCTGCTATGGATCGGAAAATCGCCGAAATCGAGAAAGCAAAAATACCAAATCGAGAATCGAAAACACGACACACGATTTACGTGGTTCACTAACACGATGTGTGTTAGCTAGTTCACGAGCGAGAGAGAGAGAGCCAGTTTCACTATATCGAGAAGATTACATATTACAGAGTAGATGAGAAGTATTTATAATACTTCTCCTAGGTCTAACTCTAATCCAATCTGGTAAAAAAAAAGCGAGACCCCCGACTATTTCAGTCGTAGCGGTTGATAGTCCGATTCAAGTCACATCAACATGTCCTTATAGTACGATCTCTTACATGTATAAGTAGTTAAGTACTATTTATTTAGTCATTCCTCAACATTTATAGCTACTAAGATTGAGAACCTGTGAGAAACACGGATAATCGAATCAGAAATTAGGGTTGAGAATAGAAGAATTAGGGTTGAGAATTGGGAATTTGAGATGAGAATTGAAGAAGAGATGAGGAATTAGGTTTAGGGATTTTGATATTCTGCTTGATTGATCAAAATAACAAAGACTGTAGCTTAAATAGTTCCCCCTCTCTAATAATGACAAATTACCCAAATACCCCCAAATACCCCCTCTAGGCCGAGCGGCCCCTCTCACATCGTGTCTCTCACACTCCCCCCTTCTTCCAGACCGAGCTTGTCCTCAAGATCGAAGGCCGGATAGGTCTGACGAATAGTTTCCGTGTCCTCCCAAGTAGCCTCTTCCGGCGCCAAGTGCCTCCACTGAATCAAGCTCTCGGAGACCCGCCTCTTGCCACGGAGGGGCCAGCGGACATCCAACACAGCCTCGGGCTCCAGCTCCAACGCGCCATTCTCGTTCACCGGCGGATCGGGTGGTGGGTCAGACGGTGCTACTCCTCGGTACCTGCGCAGAAGTGAGACATGAAAAGTCGGGTGAATCCGAGATGCATCCGGGAGCTGCAACCTGTACGCCACGGCTCCGATCCGCTCCAGCACCTGGTACGGCCCAAAATATCGGGCCGCGAGCTTCTGGTAAGCTCTCTTGAACACTGACGTCTGCCGGTAAGGGTGCAGCCTGAGTAGGACCCAATCGCCCACTGAAAACTCCTCGTCTCGCCTCCCGGAGTCCGCCTGCTGCTTCGACCTGTTGTTGGAAGCGGCCAAATTGGCCTTCAACTGTTGCAGTGCCTCATCCCGGTCCGCCAACCACCTGTCCACCACATCCACTGCACTCGCCCCTGACTGGTACCGGACCAGCATCGGTGGCGTCCTCCCGTAGAGAGCCTCGAAGGGAGACATCTGGATAGATCGGTGGTATGTGGTATTATACCACAGCTCAGCCCATGGCAGCATAGCGAGCCAACGGCGCGGCTGCTGGTGAGCAAAACACCGCAGGTACTGCTCCAGTATCTTGTTCACCACCTCAGTCTGCCCATCTGTCTGGGGATGATATGCCGAGCTCATCTTCAGCTCCGTTTTCGCCAAGGCGAACACCTCCTTCCAGAACCTGCCCAGGAATAATGCATCACGATCACTTACTATCGAGCGGGGAAACCCGTGGTGCCGAATGACCCCCCAGACAAACTGCTCTGCTACACTCCGGGCAGTATACGGATGGGCTAGGGCCATGAAATGTGCGTATTTGGTGAGGCGATCCACCACCACCAAAAGAACTGTCTTTCCACCTGATGGCGGGAGACCCACGATGAAGTCCATGCTAATATCTTCCCATACCCGCTCTGGCACTGGCAGTGGCTGAAGTAGTCCGGCTGGCCTCAGCTGGGAAGCCTTGACCCGCTGACAGGTGTCACAGGATGCAACGTAATCCTTGACCTCTCGGGTCATCTGTGGCCAGTAGAAATGACCGCGAATCTTCCTCAAGGTCCTCTCGTACCCCGAATGGCCGCCCACCGGCGAATCGTGAAATTCCCTCATCACAGTCGTCGTGAGGGAGGTGGCCGGAGGTAGAACCACGCGACCCCGGTGAAACACCAATCCGTGCCTGAAGGTATAGTTACCAGGTGTCTGACTGAGAGCGATATCCCGGCGCTCCTGCAGGAACGGACTCGCCTCCACCGCCCTTCTAACCTCCTCCCAGAACAACACCACCGGCCCTGTCACTGCTGCCACCTGCGGCCTCCACTCCACCCGCGAGAGGGCATCCGCGGCCTTGTTCATCGGCCCTGGTCGATAGTGCAACTCATAGTCGTATCCCATCAACTTCACCACCCACTTATGCTGGTCTGGGGTGGACACCCTCTGGTCCATCAAGTGCTTGAGACTCTGATGATCGGTGTAGATCCGGATCTTCTGACCGATCAAGTAGGGTCTCCACATCTGGACCGCCTCAGTAATGGCGTGCATCTCCTTCTGGTAGGTGGACCAAGCCTCCTTAGATGGAGGGAGGGTACGGCTCATGAAGGCGATGGGATGCCTCTCCTGTGAGAGAACCGCCCCAATTCCCCGGCCAGAGGCGTCAGTCTCGATGTCAAAAGGCTGAGAGAAGTCCGGTAAGGCCAGAACTGGTGTCGATGAGAGGGCGGCCTTGAGCTCCACAAAAGCTCGCTCTGCTTGGGGATTCCAGCTAAATCCCCCCTTCTACAGCAAGGCATTCAACGGACCGGCTATAGAACTGTACCCCTTCACGAACCGCCTGTAGTAGCCAGTAAGACCGAGGAAACCCCGCAGCTCTGTTGCCGACTTCGGCACCGGCCAGTCCATCATGGACTGAATCTTCAACGGATCCACTCTAACTCCGTCACCTGAAATAACATGGCCCAAATAGTCCACTGACTGGACCCCAAAGGCACACTTCGAAGCCTTCACATAAAACTGGTTGCTCCGTAATATCTCAAACACCTCCTGCAAATGCTGCATGTGCTCTCCCCAAGTCTTACTGAAAACCAGAATATCATCAAAGAATACCAAGACTGACCTGCGGAGCAAAGGCCGAAAAATGTCGTTCATGGCGGCCTGGAATGTCGATGGTGCATTACAGAGTCCGAACGGCATGACCAGGTACTCGTAATGGCCACTATGCGTCCGAAAAGCCGTCTTAGGAATGTCCTCCTCGTGCATGCGTATCTGGTGGTACCCTGCCCGCAGATCGAGCTTGGTAAAGTACTGGGCACCCCGTAGCTCGTCGAGCATGTCATCCACCGTGGGAATGGGAAAACGGTCTCGGACAGTAGCGGTGTTGAGTGCTCGGTAGTCTGTACAAAACCGCCAGGTGCCATCCTTCTTCTTCACCAGCAACACCGGCGAAGAAAACGGGCTGGAACTTGCCCGAATCAGCCCGGCTGTCATCATCTCCTCCACCTGCCTCTCGATCTCGGCCTTCTGGTTATGTGCATACCGGTAGGGGCGAACGTTAACTGCGTCCGTGCCCTCCTTCAGCCGAATCCGATGGTCCACCTGGCGCTGTGGAGGAAGCTGGTTCGGCTGCCCAAAGAGCTCCTCGTACCGGTCCAGCAATGCCTGTAAGTCTGGGGCTAACGGCTGCGGATCGGCAGACCCCAGTGGCCAACAGAGCACAGCTAGCTCGGCCTCCTCCTCCAGTTGCGGGTCACCCCACTCCACCGGCCCAGTTGCCGTGGTCAACCCCTGGAGTTCCCAGTCCTTGTCCCTCCATTTGAACCTCATAACCATCTTCACCCAGTCGCTCGTCACCGGTCCCAAACTCTTCAGCCAAGGCATGCCCAAAATGATGTCGAAGCCCTGCAAGGGTAGGACGTACAAGTCAAGAGGGACCTGCAGCCCTTGAATCATCACTGTCACTCCTGCCAGCTTCCCGGTGCACTGCAGCGGCGCCCCATTGGCCACCTTCACCTCGAATGGGACGATTGTCACCTGTGATGTGGGTAATCGGCGTACAAACTCTGCCCCAACAAAGTTGAGAGAAGCCCCGCTGTCGACCAAGGCCACTCCCCACTCCCCTGCCACCTGCGCCCTGAAACGCAGAGTAGGCGAACCCGCGGTCACGCCGGCGGCCACCGCGGAGATGACCTCCAGCTCGGCGCCGCCCTCCTTCGCCTGCAGAGCTGCTGCCGCCGCCGAGGACCTCTCCTCCTCCTCGTTCAGCCGCGACGAGCCAGGCCCACCCAGCGCGCCGAGCGCTCTCCCCGACGTCGCGTCGCGCGTCGCACTCGCCGCGACAGACGCGGCCTGCTCCTGCTCGAGCAACCCCCGCCGCGACGCTGCTGTCGGCACCGCTGGGCCAGCGGAGCTCGGCCCTTCCACCGCGTCGCCCCTTCGCCGCCAGTCGGCGGCTACGCGCTCCAACCGGTCGAGAACGTCCCGTAAACGCGCATCGAGCGCGAGCTCGTGGTCCCTATCGGAGAGTCCTTGAGAACTCATATCGACAGGCTCTGATACCAATTGTGAGAAACACGGATAATCGAATCAGAAATTAGGGTTGAGAATAGAAGAATTAGGGTTGAGAATTGGGAATTTGAGATGAGAATTGAAGAAGAGATGAGGAATTAGGTTTAGGGATTTTGATATTCTGCTTGATTGATCAAAATAACAAAGACTGTAGCTTAAATAGTTCCCCCTCTCTAATAATGACAAATTACCCAAATACCCCCAAATACCCCCTCTAGGCCGAGCGGCCCCTCTCACATCGTGTCTCTCACAGAACCAGCATCCGCAAAAATGACAAGGCACAAAACAAACTTGTTCAACACTATCTGAAACCTGTCATTTGATAGAGTCAAACAACCTCAATATACAAGGGGGCATAACCACTAGACTAATCTCAATCTATCTAGCTAGAGAATACCTATTCTGACAAATATCGACCTATCTCGAGATCATCCCCGAGCCAACACGTGTGATAAAATGCATGAATAGAATTCAAAGTATGAGCCAAGCTAATCAAGAGTTTCAACAACGCATCTTGATTTTTCCATAAAAAATTAAAAAATTAATAACTGTAAAAAATTAAAAAATAAACGAAAAATAAAAGTAGGTATGTAAATCCCATCCTCAGGAACTCCTTAACATTGTAAATCGTTATCATCGCCATAGCCAGCCACCCTGTCATCATTCAATCTGCTGCTCTTGGACACCAACCCATCTTTCCTCTGCTGCGATTCAATCCTCTGCCGCTCATCTTCCCTCTTCATCCGCGCGGTTACGAATCTGTACTCGTACCCGACCTTCTCGGGCCGAAACCCCTCCACGTGGGGAAAACTCGTGATCGGAGGCAGCCAGATCCGATCACCTGTGAGAGGGTTCAGCAGCAGCAACAATGGGCCCCTCTGCAACATGAACAGCCAGCGGAAGCTCGAACCGCGGCAGCAAGTGGGCGTTCTCCTGCTGTTTATAAAACCTTCCGGCATCTCGACCTCGATGTGGAGGAACCGCTGTTCCGTCACATCGAAGAAGCACCTGCAGCTATCAGTACCTTTGCATCCCGCCATGGCCTCCGAGCTGCGGACCATGTTGCTGCTGCGGCAATAGGGAAGCATCAGCCATGGGACCGATTGGGTAAAATTGTGCGGCTTCTGCTTATCCTCCACCGCTAGGGATTGTCTCCAAGGCTTGCAAACAACTTGGAATCGGCTGAAATCCTTCAATTAGATTAGAAATCGATGAGCGATGATACCCAGAATCTCGCCCGGCAAAACCGACCAATCGGGTTTGGGGATGTCGTCGTCGTCGCTCATGTTCGAAGGTAGGGATGGATGGATGGAGCGTCGCTCATGGCCGCCGCTGCATTTGCCTGAGGAGATAATTTCCCGATAAAATCCGATGCGGGAAGATAGGGTTGGGTGGCTGTGGCTGTTTTTACTTCTTTTTTTCGTTCTTTTTTTTTACAATTATTATTATTTTTTTGTAAAAAGAAAAAATAATAATTTTTTATGTCGACGTGGCAGGTGACGTGTACATTGACTAACGGTCAACAGGGTTGACCGTCTGTTTTGACGGTCAAACCCGCCTCCAGGCCAAATGAGGATGTTTGCTACATAGTTCAGGCCATAGTAGCAATATTCAATAATTCGGGCCAAAGTAGAAAGTATGTGTATAGTTCGGGCCAAACTAAGGTATTAACCCTAATTATTATGCTAATAATACTAAATACTAATATACAACAACAAACATGCAACTCAACGATATCTTGACGACAGTGCGACCCAGATATGGTGTGTTCAACTCCCAACCCGTCAACTCCATGCAGAGTTGCAAACCCTTCCAATCGATAGACTAATTGTAATTTTTCTAGATGAGCAGTGAAAAAAGAACTCTTTCAAGCTCATCAAAATATAGAGCAACTAAAGAGCTAAATAGCTTGCTCGCTCTCAAGCTCAATATTCTCCGTGGCATAATTGGATCGCATTCTTGATACTATAATACCCCAACGACTAGGTTCATTAGTACAGCAAGCCCACTATCCCTTCAAGCAGGATATGAGATAAGATTATGCTTAATTCTTTTGCCAAATAATTGTCTACTAGTGTTGCAACTTACATATAAAGACAAACAAGATGAAAGGGGGTTAATAAGTATGATCGAGATTAAAAGGGTTATTGTTTGACCCAAAGTTAATTAAGGTTCTTGTAAGTTGTAACTCATAACCCACTAAAGTGGTGGTTTGTTTATCTTTATGGTCCAAATGACTTGAAAGAATTCCCCTGTTTTGGATCTTTACTGTATTTAAATATTCCACAAGAATATAATAAAGCATAGCCACATTGAGGGCAAGAACAAAGAAAGAAATCAATTGATTCTTCAAGATAATAAACATAATCCCAGATAAGATATGACCACATACATATATAGATCTTCATTTCTATATTCTAATTTCCAACCTCAAATCAGAACCCACATCTAATAATTGGGTTTGTACCCCCAACCAGTGACCAAACCCCTATTTGGCTAATCAATAAACTAATAAGACACCCCTAAACACCCTCCAATATAATACCAAATCCACCCCAAAAGGCCATCATCCATTCCATTCATTCCCTAATTAAATAATCAGATTAAGATCCTCTGCTTTCCATTATTGTCTTAACATAAAAGTAATCCATCCAAAACAAAAGAAGTGCATATAAAGAAATCCATCAATCTTATATTATAATAAACACCACCAAATCCTAGATATGTTAAGATAATACAATAGTATGTAACGGTCCACCACAACCCAACACACCACCTTTCTGCTGCATTCACCCGGACACGAAGAAGATAAGGAGAATCAATCAATCCCTTCCCATCGCACCACCAAACCCCATCAACAAGGAATCATGATACTGAAGAGTGAAAATCAAGCATACACCCATTTCTCAGATTTGGTTTTCAAGACGCGTTAAGCCAAGCAAAGCAATCTACAAGTCGACACAGATCTACATGCAAAGAGCAGCAGTAACACACGGGTTGATCAAGATTAAGCTGAAGATTCTTCCTTTTTTAATCATGTCAAACCACAGCAGTAATCATCATTAATTAAGCGCAAAAAGGGCCAAAAGGAAAGCTCTAATTAGAATACAAAATCAGGAAATTAATGGAAAGGGAGGAAGAGACAGAGAAGAGAAACTGGTCATGGAAAAGCCTTAATTGCTTTGCTGATGCTCTCTAAACTACTACCTACTCATAAGTACTTATTAATTACCGGCCAAATCATCGATTTGAATCGAGGGATGGGGGAGAGATCAAGATCAAGATTCAAGATGATGAAGATGACCCATTCGCGCCGCCGACATTATCACTCTCAAACAGACGGTGGTGGTAGTTGTTACCGTGATTCAAACCATCCCCGTTATTGCCGACGCCGCCGGCGCTTGCGGCGGCGCTATGGTGGTGGTCGAGGCTATTATTGGTATTATTACTACTACCACTGACCCGGGTTTTGGCGAAGGTGTTCTTGTTGTTATGCATCCAGACTTTAAGAACCCCTTTATCCACCTTGACCTCGTTGCAGAATTCCAGCACCAAATCCTCGTCGCTCTTCTGCATCTTCCACCCGACCCGCTCCGCGAACTCGTGCATCCGCTCCTTCTGGTGCTGGGTGAACCTGGATCTGAACCGCTTCCTCGACGACGAGCCGTTGTGGTGGGGGGAAACGGTTGCGAGATTCGGATTAGGGTTTTCGCCGGGTCCCGACCCGGACAGAGCCAGCAGCATGTGGGGAGCGGAAGGGTAGTAGGAGGACGAGATCGGAGGCGGGGAGGCGGAATTCGGGCTGCGAGGGGGCGCCGCCGAGAGCGGTGCTGGCGGCGGAGGGTGGTGGCGGTGGTGCGGATGGTACTCGATGGCGGCGAGCGGCGGCGGCGGCAGAGCCAGAGGATTATGGGTGTTGGGGTTGTCTTCCGGTTCGCGGCGGTGGAAATTGCGGTGGCAGCCGCAGGCGGCGCATTTCAATGAAGTGGGATCGGTGGGGGTGGTGTTGGGGGAAGGCATGAACTCGCCGCATCCGTCCAAAGCGTGGCCGCCCAAAGAAGCGGCGTGGTTCTTGAGACATTCCTTGTAGGCGACGGTGGCGGGCGGCGGCGGCGGGCGGAGGTGGTGGTGGCGTTTGAGGACGCCGTTGGTGAAGGAGAGCGGTTTGGGTGGTTGGATCCGGGTGGGCGTCTCGGATTCGGGCTCTGGGGATTTGGGAGACGGGCTGTTGTTGTTGTTGTTGGCGGTGGTCGGAGCTGGTGGGTGCGGTGAGACGGCTGCTAGTACCTCCATGGTTCAAACATTCAAAGCAAGCTACATGAAATGAGAAACTAAAGCTACCCAAGTAGAGGATTCTGGGTGGTGATGGAAACTGTGGAGGATCTGGCCATGGAGATTTGGAAGTACTTTGGGAAAGGTTGAAGCTTGAAGGAAAGTAAGAGAGAGAGAGATAGAGAGAGGAAAGATGATTAGAGATGGGATGGATGGGAATGGAGGGATGATGATGATGATCAGAGAGTCAGTGAGTGAGTGATGATGATGATAATTTGGTGGGTTTTTTTCATATTTATTTTAAAATTTTGTAAGTCAAGATTTGTGGTTGTGCCTTCTTAACCTTTAACTCAACTTGGGAGGGGTTCATGATAAAGTATGAACCCTAGTTGTAACATCTTTGGGTTAAGTGACCCGTACAGTAACAATACCATGGGAGTGGTGTTGATTATTGGTTACTATGTAATAAATGTTACCCTCCAAGTCCAAACCACTACTTGTCTTTGACCCTTGCATAGTGTTACACAAGCCATCTTTGAAAAAAAGGGAAGTTACCCAAGCCATGTATAATTGTATGTGTCTATTTCCTTGAACTTTTGCTTTTCAACTCTCTTGTTGCAGCCTGCCATTGGAAGAAGTGGGGAGGTGGGGGTGTGGAGAAGTGGCAAGTCTTTTCAGAAAGTCAAAACTCATATTATAGGTTTAGGTATGGACTCATTATCTAGCATTTTCATTTGCTTAATTTTGTCGATTAGAGAGTAATAATGGAGTAAACTTGGTCTGCTTAGATGGACTAAATCCATGTTGAATGTGTCATGATCACATTCAAGTTTTTGTTATAAAATAATTTTAATTGGAAGTATCACATCTAAATTTGCTTCGAGCTCTATTAGAATGCTAATTTGCATGTTGAAGTGGCAATTCTTTTTCATGAAGATCACCGTCATGAGTGATCTTTTCCAATGGTCTCTTTTTCCTATTCCGACCCCAAGTAGAGGTGACAGTTCTCAATCCAATCCACCAATCTAATTCACCAACCCATTACAAATATTCACCTAATCCAATCCATTTTATCCAAATCCAATAGTATTGGTGGATTCATGGATTGATCCATGGATCCAAATGGTAAATTACGGTTTGGTACCTATACTTTTTATATATTACATTTTGGTATCCAAAATTTAAAATTTTATGCGAAAAATATCATTGGGAATTTACGTTTTGGTACCTATAATTTTTCATTATGACATTTTAGTACCTAAACTTTTCACATTTTACATATTGGTCTTTGGTTGAAGATGTCATTTAGATTCATGGATAATCCACCAATCTACTTAATCCAATCCATGAATCCACCAATCCATGGATCAATCCATTTGCCACCTCTAGCCCCAAGTCTAAACCTTGCCTTGCAATTCTCAAGAATTTCGCCACAAAAATCTGGTAGTCTGCCAGTGAAACTTCAGAATAGTGCATGTAATGGAAGGTTAAATCCTAAAATATAAAATGAACTGAACCACAGTTTGTGAATAATGCATACTTAGCCATAGCTGCGGCCTGCCGAGATGTGCCGCACAATGCTTTTCCAGGCCGGTCCTCTCAAGCACCCCAGCCCAAACTATCCAGTCCTGGAGGGCTTCAATCCTCATCTTGGCCCAGCTTCTTACAGGCCCAATTCCCAAATTGACCGTCTCTCTTCGCCCAGATCGCTTCTTCGGCGCCGAACATAAACACTCTCTTCTCTCGCCTCACTTATTGACTTCCTGGGACTGGGCCGAAAACTAGTAGAAGTATCCGGCCTTCATGGCCCGGTAAACTAATAACAATGTGTATTTTTTGGCCCACAGAAGGGATTTTAAGTTCTACCTAATCCGAACCATGGAAGTGGTTATAACTTATATGTAGGTTAGGGATGGCAAAAATATCCGTAACCATGGATATCCACCCAAATCCGACCTAATCGGGTAGGGTAAAATCCGAACCCGGAGGATTTTTAGTGGGTACAGGTAAAACCCGAACCCAAATATTGCGGGTAATGGGTGGGCATGGTTTTCTTACTATCCAACCTGAACCCGCCCGATTATACATATGCTTATGTATTTTGTCTAGAAATAATCATTATTTTTCTCTAACATATTTTATATTTAGCATACAAATATAATATTTTCATGAAATTGTGTTGTTTAGTTAACTCTCTTCATTTTAGTGATTTATTGTCGTATGTTTTCTCTTATGTAATGTGGATATATGTTTGAATGTTAACTTATTGGTTGGAGTTATAAAGAGAAATTATACCCATGGATAACCGTGGATATCCGAAACCCGAACAGGTATGGGCATGGCTTTAATTTTATACTCGTTTCTTATGTGGGTATGGGATGGGTGAAACCCGAACTACTTTGGGTAGGGTAACAGATATACACTATCCGCCCCGGCCCGACCCATTGTCATCCCTAATGTAGGTATGGCAATGGCAATGGTTACGGGCAGGTATAACGATACTCATACTCACTACTCAGCTCGTGTTAGGTCGGATCTAGTTCAGGTTATTTATCATGTGTCGCGGGTCGGAGCACGTCGAACCAATGAGTATGAAAAATATTAGAAATGTCCGCTATTTTCATTATAAGCCCAAGAAATAAAATGGTATTATGATAAATGTAGTTAAATTATTGGAGAGATTGAGGTTTTCACTAATTTTAAACTTCATTACAGCTAGAATACGATGTAATAAAAGGAAAATACTAAGTAATTTGACTAAGATTAAATGTAATTTAGACAAAAACGGGTCGAGAATGGGGCGAGTCAGGGTAGGTCGAGTCGATGAGAGTACCTATTCCCGCACCGCCCAAAACAGGTCAAGATAGATCAGATAAAACGAGCCAGGTCGAGATTGTCTATCTCTGCTTATAGGGTTTAATCCAATATTTATAGGATGGAAGTACTGTCCTTGACTTTATATGTCAAACCAATGAATACTATCATCTAAAGCAAAATAAGAGAGATCATGAAGAAGGCAAACCACAATATGTTAAACTCATCCGAACAAGATCACAAAATTAAAATATCCATTAGTTGGTATAATCCTAGCCAATTCATGCTAGACAAGTCCTTCAGCCAAAGGAATACATGCCCCCGATATTTTGAGGATTGATATCAACCGATCGAAAAAACTTCTTCCCTGTTTGATGATGAATTGTGGAAGTAGTGTGTGGTTCAAAGGTAGGCATGGTTTCCAATAGTTGAAAAAACAATAGACAGATGCCCAATTTCCCAAATACCAAAACGTACGTATACCAGAAGCTTTGTTTCCCCCCTCCATTCCCCATTCATTCTTTCTTTCCCTGCCAAACTCCCATTCTCCTTAACCCACTGTCGCCTTCCCCAACCACTACCAACTCACATGCCACATTGAAAAATATCCAAATAAAACAACCGTTCTAGCCACGTTTAAATTAACGATCCTTTATTCAGATTTCTGACTTTACCCCTAGACTGATCCCCTTCAATAAACATTAATTTGAGGAGCCTTAATATTGAAAGAGATCCCAGCGTAGGCCATTTGAAAAGTATGTATTATAGAATGCATGAGTTTGAAAATACTACATAAGAATTCATGACATGCGTATTAGAATGCAATACCTAGTGTGTATGAAGTGTGATATATACGGATGTCATGCATTGTTATCATATGCGATACAATCATACAAAATCGATATTATTGATATAACGAAAAGACAAAAAAACAACGTAATGCAAGAAACTAGCTTGGTATTCTGCAAATCAAGAGACTAATTAAATGCATGGTTGTGATCAAATGACAGGCCTAGGCATGAGACATGCATGTACATATATATATATCAAGGAGCAAGACGTTTATATATACATGCCTCGTTGGCTTTTTGATTAATGGGCCTTTTACGGGGTGGAGCTAAGTAGGATTAGCATGATAACAACCAACATGATTAGATGGATGGGTGCGTTATCTGTCTGCTGGTCATGTTTAGTTGACACTTGCACACAACCTTTAATTCAAGCTTTGCTAGCTAGCTACTTCTTTGGAGCGTCTGGTGGGTTCTTGATTTGGTGATGTGAGTGCTATAGATTGTCTAATTTCCACCCCTTTTTTTCCACTGATTGATGGGAAGTTTTGTGGTATTCATTCAATGACTTACATGAAACTGGTCTTTACTTAGCTTAATTCACCATTATAAAGGCAAACTGCTTCTCTTAATTATGAGCATCCGATCGTTGATACAAGATAAATTTCGACCAGACCAAACAATTATTGACTAAACCACAATGATAGATGAATCAAACACGAACAGATAATAACAAACAGCTCATTAAATTAAATTCAAACTGATTAATTAATAGCACCATAAAATTAGTTGAGGATAGACAAGCCGAGGAGAAATACAAGAGTACCTAACAAAACACAGCGACACGAAACCCATCATCACTTTCCTCGGAATATTCTTGTTGTCGACAACCATTGCCCCAAGTTGTGGGGGGAGGAACTGATCATGAACAGGTATACCATCCCAAATCAGTTAAGTCTTAGTGATAACATAAATGGAGTATAATGAAGAGGAGGAACACTCGCGAAAGAAGAGATGATGATATATATGTGAATATTGATTGAAGTGAAAGTTCTTTCATTCCAAGGAAAGAGTGATCCATAAGCTTATCTCCTTGAGATGAAAAATGGAATACTTGTTCGAGTGCTAGTACTCGGTCAAGAATGAAGTCATCAAAATCGCCCTCCGAGTTTTCAGATTAGACAATTATTTGGTGGGATATATTGTGTTCTGCAAGAAGACTGCGTAAAGGTAGAATCAATAATAACTTGCCATGAGACGACGAATGTTGTGAAGAAGAGATTTGCACATATTCACCATCATCCATCCAAGCTCTTCATTCTTTGAGGCAAGGTTTGGCTATGTGGAAGATTACTTGAAAGAGATGGAGAATCTTATGATTAAGCTCATATAAATGGAGATATATAGGAAGGCTATAATAATAAGGTTGGTTAATCGAACAAGTCGTGGATCTTGATGGAACTGGAGGGTTGATAGCCTCAACTGTCCATCCTTGCACTTTCTAAAAACATATTAATTATAGATCTTACACAATCCTCATCATCTAGTAATTCGAGATCGAACAACGAAATTTTTTATATCCACACCACCATGAAGTATGAAATATAGACTAGGATAAAAGTAAGAAATTCCAACAACATAAATTCACGATATCAAATCAATTTGATTTAGGAGCAAAAAAGGGTTGATAGCTTTTTTGTCATCTCGTTCCCAATTTTCCCTCGACATATGCACATACATATATAATAACCTAAACCAAATATCGAGAAAGACAGAAATACATACCTCCATCTTTGAAAACACTTTCAAGAATAAATCTCGTCCAATCCTAGTTCACGATCTAAGGAAAATCTTATGTCTAACCGTCATGAAAGATTGGAAAAAATTACAACTCACAAGTCAACTCCCAAGAAAGTACACAAAAATCTAGCTCAAGAGGTAGGGGAAGAACAATCACACACAACCTCCGTGTCGACTTCCCTCCGGTGGAAGTTCCTGTGGCACCCACAGGCGGCGCACGTCAGGGCCGCCGTCGTCCCTTCCTCACCATTGCTAGCCATGAACTCCCGGCAGCCGTCCACGGCGTACCCGCCGACGTTGGCGGCGTGGTTCTTCTGGCACTCGCCGTACCTCACGCTCCTCACCGTGTAGCTAGACACCGACGACGAGTTGCTGTCTGCCGTGCTACTGCTCCTCGACGACGGCGCCTCTGCCGACGACCTCCTAATCACGACTTGTCTCTTCCTCATGATGGAATAATATGGTTAATTGCTGAATTTAGAATTGGAAAGAAGGAATTGATGGAGTTAGGGCCAGGGGAGAGAAGCAAGCAAGTGGTTGAAGGAAGAAGGAAGAGGAAGGTGGGGGTGGAGAGAGATAAGTGTAGATTTTTTTTTTTTTTTTTTGATGTGTTTAGTTTTAGTGTTGATGAAGCATTGAAAGCCCTAACCCTAGAGGAGGGTATTATTTATAGCCAGCTTTTAGCATACTTTTCTCTTTCCGTCACTATTATTATATATTTTTGAACAGACAGGCTTATCTCCTTGATCACCCTTATATATATAGTTTGAGGTCCATAACCAAAAGTATCAATGATAAAATCAATTCAACTGAGTGTAATTCATATACTAGGTGTTTTAGGTCACTTATTCCACAATGAGGCATTTAGACAAAAAAAAACTCATCGTTCGGCTTGAAAAAGAAATTATAATTAGCCATTGAAAAATGCGAAAACCATTCATTTGTGACATTTAAAGAACGTCATTTAGAGATGTTGTGTGATATCCCCACACCATTTAGCGATGTTGTGTGGTGTTCCCCACACAATATCTCATGGCCATATGGCTTATTCAATATCTCATGGCCAAATGCCTAATTTTGTACATCATCTTTCAAAATGGTCAATTTTCCAAATAACTCATGTAAATGGCTTGTTAAACCATGAGAGTGATATCTTTATATCGAATAATGCACATTGCTAGTAGGAATTTTCCCCCCATTTTCTCGTCATTCAAATCATGGTAACCACCAAAATAGATTTTTAGATTTCATGTAGTCGTTGGTACATTTGGTGTTTGTCAAGTGATACATTTTGTTATACACACACATTTATACTTACCCTGGTACTTCTACATTATGAAACTTCCTATAATTAATTCTACTGCGGCACATGCAATCACTTTATCGTTTCCTAGTACTCTGATCGCAATGCACATCGTTAGTTCACTACACACGTATGAATTGGGGGGGGGGGGGTACTCCATTAAAAGTATATGTATGTCTATCAAACGAATATTTAGATTCCTCGATAATACACATGGGCTTCCTTAGTTCTGCATAAATATAATTGGACTACATTATTATCTTTATGTTGGAATAATATTAGTGCGACTAAATATCTAGTTCTACACTTCTTTTATTGTTGTCATAGACAGGCCATAAATAGACAGAGTGTTACAAATTGTTCGAAAGTAAAAAGTGATAGTCAATCAAGTGTTGATCCACCGAACGCAAGAACTTGTTTTGCCACAAACAAAATAAACGAAAAGGAGGTCTTCAGCAGTCGAATTTTCTCAAACACCGCTCCACCCTAATCAGGTTGCACATCATCCTTCAAAGCTCGATGAATTACCAATTGAGAGTGAGCAAACAAAATGAAAACCAATCTAGTTCTACACATTCCCTTGATTATAAGCATCTTGGAGGGTCCAAGGGCCACAATTTTCTTATTTTTTTAAAAAGTAGGGATCCCCGACGGGACCAGTTTGATTGGAACAAAGATAATTAAATCAGCAATAATAATCAAGCTCTTAAGACCTAAACAATGAATTTCCCCCCTACTGTCTCAGTAGCCCACAATCACATATCCCTTTCTGCCCTTTTGAAGCTTAGTGCCACTTAATTATTCCGTCTCCTTTAATTATGTCCGCCATCAAACCCCCCAAATCTAGTAGTTGTGAAGTGATCACCTAACTGCCCTCCCCTGCAAATGACAACCGCAAATCAGTGGGCCTTAAATCATTAGAATACAATATATTGCAGCTAGTCTATGGTTAATGATAATGAAGTTACGTAATAAAGTGGGTTCAAAGATGAAGGGTGAAAACAGAAAGAGATAAGGCAAAAGAAAAGAACCCTATAAATGATAACAAAGCATTTGGGTTTCACCTAAAAGTGTGATTGGTTTGAAATAGAATGACCAGCTCTCTTAAACCTAATTTGACAGCTCTTCTTTGGGGGCCTGATCTCAGAGAGGGCAGAGAAGAGAAAGAGCAAGAACACAAATTTATCGTATGGGTGCATTGTATATTCCTTATATGGAGCCAACACAACACAGCCCATTCTGTGTTCTAACCCTTCCAATTTGTTTTACCTAATAACATGATGCCTCTGTTTAGCAACTTTGCCAAACCCTGCTGCTGTTACCAAACATGCCACCCTTTTTGTTTCCCCCAACTTGATTCTGACCATCTTTGAGCTTAAATATCTTAGAAGTTAGTCTTTGTTTCAGCGAAACATATAGTACAGGATGATGCTCCATGGGCTGGCTGTGGCGTGTTGGATGCACAAGACGGTAAATAACTCTGTCAATCCATAGACCAAACTCTGCTCTGTTCTCATAAGTATAGATCGAAACCTTTAACCTCGTAACTAAAGAACAAGCTGACCAAATACCAATCACCATGACACCAACTTTTGGATATTCTGAGCCTACTTGGTACACAAAATGGAATTGGGCAGGGGAATCTTGATTATTGTGTTGCTATGAGATGGAGGAGTATTGTCCCTTGTGGAGAAAAGAACAACAGTAAACACTAACCTAAAGGCAAGTGGCTTAAATGTCTGAAAAAAGAGAGTGAAATGTGAAATGAGTTTGCTGATTCACAATGAAAAATTAACAAGACTTAACAACAGATAACGAGGAAAATTAAAAAGAATTGATGATAGTTTTGTAATTTATTCTCATTGATTTTTAACCTACCATCACATTTCACCTAATTGAATGAGATTTTATAATTAGTGGACCCCAAAATAATCCGACATACATAGACCTCACAAGTCATAATCCAACACCATTTTAAGTTTTTAACACCAAACATGGATTTTAAGCATAATCTCATAGGTGTGGGATTTTAGAACAAAATCCTTGATCAGTTGATCAAAATCTCAAAAGCAAACAACCCCTTACTTTTTACCCTTTTCCCCTCTTCTCATATAGTTTCACGGGCCTAAATATAACTTATTTTACCATTCGATACCTCTAACCTCAAGGAAGGATCAAATATTGATCAAAGTACACATACATATTTAAGACCTATCTAATACTTAACCAAGAAAGAAAGTCAAACACGTCAAATAGTCGGCATAACAAGAACATGGCATCATGACAAGCCACATAAATGATAAACTTCCCTAAATATTAAAATAAAATAAAAATCAAACTTTAACCCGGGTTGGCTGACTGGGCTGGAAATGAAGGCCCACCAGAGCTTCGCTTGTCTAGAATGGACTAATTGTCGAGGTTTAGACCTGACCCAGCAATTTAAGCCCATTTTGGCTGGCGGGTTGAAAGCCTGGCTTGCTTCAGCTTTGGACTCTAGAACGGGCCCAAATCCTTCCTCTTCCTCTGGGCCAATACTACAGTGCCGCACTAAAAAGTGCGGCACCGATGACGCCGTTTTTAATTGGGCCACGTGACGCTGACGTGGGCTGACTGGTTTCATAATTTCGAGCCCATGACCCATACGAATTTGGAATTGTCAATTGTCCAAACCAAAAGCGCTAGCCACAGACGGAAGTTTCAACAACCGTTTACTATTTCCTTTTTTTCAATATTTAATTTTAAATTAATTTAACTTTTATATGCATTTAATTTTATCTTGAAAAAAAAAACGAAGGAAAAGGAAAATCCTAGGGTTCTACAGCGAGAGAGATGAGAAGGTAAACAGATAATCAGTGTACAGAGACATTGAACTGGCCGGCAGAAAAAGGGAAGCGGTTGAGCCCTAAACCAGGAATTATTTTCCAGTCTCGCGGCGCTGCTGAAAAATGGAAGCGGAAACGGCTCAGAGAATCGAGATTCTCGTGCCGGCTGAGAACCCGGTCAACGAATCGGCAGAATTCCACGTCTCGCTTCCTTAGAATCACTGAAACAGGTACCGGCGCGGGTGAGGCGACGTTCCAGCCCAGAGGCTTGCAAACCAAGCGGTTGTCGAAATCGAGACTAGAAACCCTAATCTATAGATCCTTCCACCGTTGGCTCAGGACTGCGGTGACGACGGCGTACTTGGTTGGCAGGTAAGAGAGGATGTGGGTGATGATTTCGTCCGGCAGTGAGCTCAGCCTGTCGTGGTCGATTCCGGTCGCCGGGACCTTCCGTTGACGCGTCCTCCTTGCGATTTTACCACTCATCGTCTTCATCGACAGAGTGCCGCGGGAAAACTGAGACGGGAAAGTGAACGGCGAAGAAAAAAACAAATAAAACTGAACAAAATAATATGGTGAAAAACGCTGTGGAAAAAATTAACGGAAAGAATCTGTTCGTTTGGGTACGGCTTCGGTTCGGGCCAATTTCAATAGGTTAGTAGGCTTTGGGCTCAAATTAAATAAACCAGTCAGGCCACGTCATCACCACGTGACTCAATAAAAAGTGCGGCACCATAGTATTGTCCTTCTCTGTAGTATTACCGTATTCGTTACTGTCACACTCACACCTAATGAGAAACCCTCGTAACATTAACCAATTCACGGGGGGCCCATAGCCGGAAAATATAATTATAAGTTTTAATATTTTAATGGCAAGATCACTCCATCTAAATCTGATGAGTGACTGTAAGAAAGTAATTGTCAACAAAATAATACAATCAGAAACTTCCACAGATAAATCAATTATTACTTTCACGAAGAAAAAGAAAAAAAAACAATACTACATTAGCGACTCCATTATAGATATGACTGATATCAATGGATTGCATTTTATGTGATTAAAATCTCACTAATCCAATGATATCAATCCTATCTGCATCTTCATTATTTCCAAGCTCATCAGTACATTCTGGAGCAATATTGTAAATAAAAGAGAAAAAATGATAATCAACGAATGTTTAGTCAATTCCCATCACTTAGCTGCCAGTAAAAAAAAAAAAAAAAGTAGAATTAATTGTTTTTACTCGAGCACCGCAGTAAAAAAATCGTGCTTCCCAACGGCGCCGGTCAAACTCCCTTCTTCGAGTAGCCATTTCTCGAGCAACGACAAGCTAGCCTCGTCGGGATGAGACACATCCTCGCACCCTTCTTCGGCCTTAAACATCCTCTTTGTAGTAGCCACAGGAGACCCGCTGTGGGAAAGATCCGAACAGTTCGAAGCCCCGTCGCCCGACCCGAACCCGAACCCGAGCAGAGCATTGAATGAGCGACCCGGTAACTCGACGGCCACCGATTCCCCACCACCACCAATGGGAATTGACTCGGCCGAGTCGTTGCAGCTGGGTGAACTCTGGGAATCGCAAACCTTACTCCCGGCGCTGCTACTAGTAGGCTTGTTCTTCATCCAGTCTTTAAGCAGCCTAGCGATGTTGTCGGCGCTGGACGCGTATGTCGAGCCGGCACCGCCGCCGCCGTGGTTGAGATGTACGGAGGAGGAGGGAGAAATGGCGTGGGAGAGGGCGCGGCGGGCGGTTTGGATGTCGGATTGAAGCCTTCTTTCCCATTGGCCTCTCGAGGGTTTCGTAGATTTCCTGGTGGAAGATGAGATCGATGAATTAGCCGACGAGGAAGGAGACGGAGAAGAGGAATCGCTATTGTTCGTCATCGTGAGCTTCTTCTTGAGGTGGGTGTTCCAGTAGTTCTTGATGTCGTTGTCCGTTCGCTCCGGGAGGTACGAAGCTATGGCTGCCCATCTGCCCCCCAAATTCATAATTAAATTAAACTCGGATTATTTAATTAATTAATTAACTAGAGCAACAGCAGGAGACATTCTTTAATTCCCTGGGATTTGGTATTTTAATCGAATTGGTTTTGACTAGTGGATTAATTAAGGGAATGAATGTAGGTACCTGTTTCCCAGAAGGGCTTGGAGATGGATGATCATCTTCTCTTCATGATCAGTGAAGTTGCCGCGCTTGATCCCTGGACGGAGGTAATTAGTCCATCGAAGCCGGCAGCTTTTGCTGCATCTCAGCAGCCCTGCAAAATATTGATGGAAACCCATTGAACCCATTAGTCTTCAGAAAGCGGTATCCATTGCAACCGGTTGGTTTCTTTAGTGACCAACTTTTATGGTTCATTACACAGAAATCAGCAATGAGTATGGCAAAAAAAAAAAAAGTACCAGTGTGGGTGGGGACGGCTCTCCAGTTGCCAGGGCCGTGCTCCTGAACGTAGGAGACGAGGAGGATGTCCTCTTCAGGAGTCCATGGACCTTTCTTCACCCCACCCTTGTCACAGCATGGTGGTCTCCCCATTCTGCAGATCAGATCCTTCCCTTGTAATTGGATTCCTCACCTTTCTCTTCTTTTTGTTTCTTGTTTGGAGAAAGAAAGGAGGTTGATTGCTGAGATGGGCAGGTGGATTCTAAAGGGTACTGTGACTTGTGACTTGGGAGTTGGGTTGGAAAGGAAGGGGGAAACGGTGAAAGTGCATTTATAGAGGAGCACATTGCCCAAATGCTGACATTAATAAATGGGGAAGGGGAAAGAGACAGAGTGGAAAAAAGGTGTGGGAGGTGGCAGAGGAAGAGAAAAGAGAGTCAAAATGACAGCAAAAAATGGGATGCATAATGAGGGGAGTGGAGGCCAAAGTCAGCTGTGTGAGAGACCAATGCTCTTTCGAAACCGCGTGGGCATTCAATGTGGGCTTGCTGCTGCTGCTGCTGCTGCTGCTGCTGCATTCAATTTCAGAGCGAGAGAGAGAGAGGCTAGGGCTGGGCTTCTTTCTATTAATTGAATTGGAAAGGGCTAATTCTAAGCTTTCTTTTTTCCTGTCTTCTACACTAGCTAGGGTACTTGTGTCGACACAAAGCTCTCTGGTTGGCGATGTTAATAATGGAGTTTGAGTTGGTGATTGTGTGTGGTGATCATAAATCATAATCCTGCTGCTGCTGCATGCTGCTTGCATGTGCAGTTAATATGAGCGAGAAGACGAAGTAAGGATGATGGTGCTGGCTGGCAGGCAGGCACAGTAAGATTGTATAATGCCGCAATACCCCCAAGGTCTTTTCCCTCCCTTTAATAATGAGGAGGGATTATATATGCATTATATTCCTTGAATTGAATACTTAAATTGGACTCATCTTGAGCTTGACTTTTGTAATCTGTCTTGTCGTTTTCTCTCCATGTACTCTTGCTAGTATTTTTTTTTTTTTGACAAGAGGACAAAGTAATTCCATTAACTTTTAGTGGAGCCAAGATTACAATAAGGGGATACAACATCAAGAATTTGAACCCATTCAGAGGGCAAAGAATTCTTGGCACAAGATCTAGCAACCCAATTAGTTTTGGAGTTGAGTTTTCGACCGATGTGCTTGATCCGAATCAGAGGGCTGTGAGCAACACTTGCTTGATAGTTCCAATCCATGCTGCCGCTCGCCATGGCCATGACTCTGTGGTGCCATGAACTGCATTGACAAGGAGAAGGCAGTCTGAGAAGACCAGGCAGGGGGAGTGGAGACTAGTAGCAAGGCGAGAGCCTTCGAGGAGAACCTTGGCTTCAGCTTCAAGTGGGGAAAAACAGTGCACAGTCTCAGCTTTACCGTCACACACTTGTCTGTGGTTGTACGAGATAACGACGCCATAAGCCACCTTCTGTGAATCGCTGAAGAACGATCCGTCACAGTGTATCTCAAAGTCATGAGTACATGGCGGTGGAGAAGGTTGGATCAGTAGGTGGGGTAGCTCAGGGAGAGGAGAGTGAGTGGTCCGTAACCTGGGGCAGGAGATCCATTGGTGATGTGCCATTGCAGCCTTCGTAATTGTAACTGGTGGCCACGGTCTGGTGTTCTTGAAGACCAACTCGTTTCTTGCTTTCCAGGTCTGCCAGATGAGAAAATTAATTTTCTGGATTGAGGCAACAGACATCCTGGACTGCAGGGCAATCAGCCATTCCAAGATAGGAGTAAGAGGCGTGGGGGAGGGGATAGAGGGCCATTCCCGGAGCCATCCTTCCGCAGCGTGAGGGCACGCGAAAAGGCAGTGGTGGATGGATTTCGTTGGGGAGGCGCAGACTGGGCAAACCATGTTTGGTGAGCAATTCCTTAGGCTGAGATTTTCTTTTGAGGCTATGGCTCCTTTGGCGATCTCCCACACGAAGAATTTCAGTTTCGGCAGAATGGATAAGCTTCATAACCATCTCCACTTCCCTTTGGTGTCCTCCGAAACAGACTCCCCTTGGCCTTGGGAGGCTCTGAATCGACTATGGAAGTGCAGGAAGGCCGACCTGACTGAAAAAGAGCCTTGATCAGTGAACCTCCAGGCCCAGAAGTCATCCAGAGAATCAGGTCCAATGGGGATGGCGACAACTTGTTTCAGATCATGCTGGCTGAGATACATATCAAGAAGATCAAATCTCCATTCTCTAGTAATATCATTGATCCAGCAGTCGACAGTAGAGAGATCGGGCCACGCGAAATCAAGCAGAGTCCCCTCTCTGTCTCTTCTCCAAGGATCTTGGAAAATCCTGGTGGTCCTGCCATTACCAATTACCCTGATGATTCCCTGTCCCATCCATGATTTTGCCTCACAAATGCTTGACCATATCCACGAGGCTTTCCCTCCCTTCTTTGCATTGAGGAAGTCGGTCTTAGGGAAATAGATACTTTTGAGAACCTTAACCCACAAGGCATCTTTGTTGGTGAGAATCCTCCAGGCCTGTTTAGCGAGAAGTGCCAGGTTGAAGATATGGAAAGGCCTAAATCCAAGACCACCTTCTTCTTTTGGAGCATATAAGACATGTCCAGCTCTCCAGTGGATAGTTTTCTTTGTCATTGATCCTCCCCAGAAGAAGTTCTTTAGCATTGAGTCCATCTTTTTCGTTGTAGAGCGTGGGAGCAAGAAGAGGCACATAATGTAAGATGGGACCGCTTGCAGAACCGCCTTGAGGAGAACCTCCTTCCCCCTGGTGACAGGAGGAGACTTTTCCAGGCTTCTCCTTTCCTTTCCATCCTTTGAATGAGGAAGTTGAAGGTTTCCCTCTTTGACCCACCCCACTCTGTGGGGATGCCTAGGTAAGTGGAGTGCTCAATCGAGGCTGCGAAACCAGAGTCGTGGATGATGCTTGCCTGTTCATCAGTGGGTACATTGAAGCTAAAAAACATTGAGGATTTCTCCTTATTCACTTCTTGGCCTGTGACTGCCCCGTAATCCTCAAGAATGTTCAAAAATTTTCTTGCCTCTTCCGACGATGCCTCCCCGAAAATGACAGTGTCATCGGCGAACAGGCAGTGGGATAAGGTAGGACAGGACCTATTGAGCTTGATCCCCTTGATATCCTTACCCAGAACAGCTTTCTCAATAAGGAAAGAGAGGGCATTGGATAATAGAATGAATAGGAGGGGAGATAAGGGGTTCCCTTGTCGAATGCCTCGAGAAGGTTTGAAAGTAGGGGTGGGTTCCCCATTAACCAGCAGCCTGAAGCTCACAGTAGAGATGCAGGATTGAATCCAACCACACCATATATCATTGAATCCATAAGCTCGAAGAAGATTGATGAGCAGATCCCACTCGACTAAGTCGAAAGCTTTCCTAAGCTTTCCTCATATCGAGTTTCATCATCATCTCTTTCTTGTTACCTGTTTTATGTTTTTTGAAGTGGTTGAGAACCTCATGAGCGATAATAATGTTGTCTTGGATCTGTCTTCCCCCTGTGAAAGCAGATTGCAACTCGTTTACAAGTTCAGGCAGCCAAGGATGTAGTCTGTTGGTCAGAATTTTAGTGATCACCTTGTATCTGAAGTTACAGCAGCTGATGGGTCGAAATTGGCCAATCAGCTCTGGAGCTTCAACTTTAGGAATGATGGTGATGAAGGTATCATTCCAATCGTCAGGCATGATTCCCGAACTGAAAAAATGGGAGATCTCAAGACAGAAGATATCGCTCAAAGAGTTTCAGTATTTCCTGAAGAACAACCCAGGATAGCCATCTGGGCCAGGAGCCCTGTCAGCTCCCAGCTGGAAAACAGCCATGCGGATCTCATCCTTATCAACTGGTGCACAGAGACCGGCGTTGGCCTCCTCTGTTGAATCAATAATGTTAGCAAACGTCTCATGCATGAGTGGCCGGATTCGACATCAAGAGGGATTGGTGAACAATAAAATCATTTAATTTACATGCATTCTGACACACATATATATGCTACTAATTCTCATTGGAAAAAAACAAAGATATATATATATATACATATGAGAAGGAAAAATACGTTACGTTTGGTTGCACCAATAATTCAACAATAATATGGCAATACATATACAGAATTACAGTGATCATGCATGGATGTCTATTATTACAAAGAGAGAAGAGAACACATGGATCGGCAGAATGATGAATGAACTGAAATCCCACAGTAAACCCTCTTCATTGCCCACATGCAAATTGCAAACGCTATGGCCTAACAAACAGTTTTTTCCCCCCCCCGATTTTGCTGCTCTTTCGTTGCATGTTCATTAAGTATGTGTAATGTAACATTTATGTCCATGTCCCCTTTGACCCTTTCTTCTTTGCTGGGGAGCTTCTTCATCTAGAAACTTGATGACGTGGAGAGTTAGTTGCATTAGTAGATTAACACACACTCTTGTTGCGTAGTTGATTATCCCTTAAGAAGTTTTGTGTTTCAAATCAATCTATATATACAGATTAATCTTGTATTCTAAATGGAAGATTTCTCTCGCTTATATTGGTTTTACACCACAGATGAGACTTCGATAAAACTACAATGTAAAATAAGAAAAGATATATATACCAATAGATTAAACAACCAAAGAAATATGTACCAATAGATTAAACATATACCGATATATTAAACAACCAAAGAAATATATACCAATAGATAATTTTTTTTTTTATTTCTCTAAGTAGAGATTCCATCTTCCTTCCCTTCTCTCAATTCCATGCATATGCATTCCTCCCTCCATGCCCTGCAACAGACGTGCGTGACCTACTGACTTCCTTTCCATAACTTTCCCGGCCCACTTCTATTTACTACAAAGGCCCACATTTTCCCCTTCCTTTTGTTTTTAGTCACCCACAATAACGTGGTCCCTGAGACCAAAACAACGGATTGGGCCCGATGAGCGAACCCAAAGTCCAACGGTATTCTTAAACGTAAGAAAAAGAAGTTTCAGACGTGACCGGGCCGGGCTGGGCCGGGCCAGAAGTATATTGGGTTGATCTACTAATTCTCCTACTCCACTTGTCGGTCTCGCCCACGAGGATCCATCCATCGACTTTGATGTCTGGTAATTGAATCATCGTGGACGATTTGGCTGTCGATTTGAGACGGTCTTTTACCAACATTTTTATGTACCGATGTCGAGCATCCATGGACCGATAGATTGCAAGCAAGTGACCAACCAATGGATATTCACTTCGTATGATTATTGAATCAAGGACTAATCAACGATGGATTTGGGAAAGATAAGGGAATCGATTATGGTGTCAATCGCGTAGGAGTTGGCTCGGTGCCAACCATGATCAGAATTCCACATTTAGGTTAGTAATTCAACTGATGAAAAGACAGTGATGGCAAATTGGATAATTAAGGCGTTGAAAGCACAACCCCCCCCCCCCCCCTATTTAGGGTAAGGATACCGGTTCTGCTTTTTCGTTTTAAACCGAAACCAAATTGATTAATGACGTATCAGTTATGAATTTTCGATCTCGAGCCGATATTTACAATGAGGAGTTTCTAGTAGTGTACAAGTAGTGGTCGTGTCAACTAGCTTCTAACATGTTATTATGGTACTATTGATTATGAACCATCATAATTTCATTTTTCAGTGTAAAGGACAAGAAACCCCCCATTAATGTTGGCCCTCCAAGAAGCCCTAAACCCTAGCTCTAAGGAATGGCTAAGGAATGGAATAAATGTCATTGGAAGTTCCACTTCAACACGGCTCATAAATTTGCCATTCCCGTTCCTATGCAAATGGCAAAACTTTATCGATTCTCACCTGACCTGCCACCGCCCTTCTATTATAAATAAACGTTTATAACCACAATTAACAGAGAAACCAAAGTTGGTGGCTGTGATTCTGTCGCTAACCGGTGGCTTTTAACTTGGGGAACGAAGTACGAAACCATCCGTAGTTTGAAACTTTGAACAATTCTCCCACTTCATAATTTCCCCCCAATCTGACAATTAACAAAAAAACGACGCCATCAACCTCCATTAACCACAACTAGCTTGAGCTTTCAACCTAACCCTATTTTTCTCTCTTGTCTATATCATCCCCCTCCCAACCAAACCTACTACCTCCGGCAACCCTAGTATAGTAGTATGTCAGATATGTTGGACGGGAGTCCATGCGAGCTAGTGTTATCGAATTATTTCCACGGACCTTTTAATACGAAATTAAAGTTTGTGCGAGCTATTGTTATCGAATTATTTTCACGGACCCTTTAATACGAAATTGAAGTTTGTAGCCGAAACTTTTTTTGTTTTTTTTTTTTGGTAGAAGAAGCTATTTTTATTGATACGCAAGACCGGGACGAATGCTATTTTGTTGGACTTTTATTTAACACGGAAACAGACCTCTTCAGCCAAGGAAAATGACAATTGCAAAGGAAAACATGACTTCACAAAATGAAAAAGGAGAATAGAAAATAAACGAAATCCGACCCAAAAATCTCTGCAAAATCTTAGCACAATAACGCCATAACGGCATGTTGAACTCCATAGAAGAGTACCGGTAATTGTAAGCAAGCAAACCAGAATCGCCTCTGGTCGCTAGGAGGTTCTTTTCTTTCTCGGCGTCGTCGGATTAATTAGCTCTCAAACTTTATCCTCCTCCGCCTAACAAATCTATCTCCCTCCGTCTCCCATGAAAGCAAATCCCCTTTTCATATATTAATTAGGTCAGACTTCAACTTCTCTCATCTTTCCCTCCAAATCTCCCCTCGTGCAGGATTTTGTAGGGGGGTTTTCTTTCTCTTTCTCCCCCCTCTTTGACATCCGCGTTCCTCATTTCTTTGGTCACCGGTCTATTCGGACGGGGGGAGTCGAAGAAATTCAAACTCGGAAATCATACTATTCTGGACTCTTGCTCTGTTTCACCCCCCTTCCCTTCGAGATGAAACAAGGAAGAGGATTGGGAAGGTTATATTGAATGAATGAATGGTTGGTTGCGGCAACCATGTTTCTTCCCCCCACCAAACCCCTTTCAGAGCGACGAATCATGGGGTTGGGCATGTGTTCTTCTTCTTCTTCCGGTACCCGGAAATTGCTTCTTTTTGCGGCATCTTTCTGGGTTTGCTTACTTGCTCTGTTTCGCTTTGTCACCGGAGCAACCACCGCGTCTCTCTGCAGGTAGCTCACGCAATTTCTTCCTTTCAAGGGCTCCGGTGTTTATTCCTTATATTACTCGATTTGTTAGTAAAACTCGTTTCTTTTCTGGTACAAGAACCGAAACCAGTGCTGCCGCCATTTCTGCAGCGAAAGGCTCCGACTTTGTAGAACCGGAGGAGCTGCCTGAAATGGGGACTGAACCGGAAAATGAAGCGGAGTCGGACGTTTATGGATATAGAGAGGATGATTCAGGGTATGAGAAGTCTCCCAAATTCGTAGAATTTGTAGAACCGGAGGAGCTGCCTGAAACGGTGCAGGAACCTGTAATTGAAACGGGGTCGGGCGTTTCTGAATGTAGAGGAGTAGTCACGGAAGAGAAGGATGAGTCAGGGGATGAGAAGAAGTCGCCCAAATTCGTGTTCAAATTCGAGTACCAGAGCTATAGAGAAGAAGAAGAAGAAGAAGAAGAAGAAGAAGAAGAAGAAGAAGAAGAAGAAGAAGAAGAAGAGCAAGAGCAGATTGAATTCGAGCCTTCTTCTCCGTTGGACTCTATACCCCCCGCTTCAGCTACCAGTAAGTACGAATTCTTGTCCGGAAAGGATTTTAGCCACTATGTGGAGGAGCCGGAATCCGTTCGCCTCACCGTGAAGGAGTGTTTTCTCGGTCCCGATGAGGGTTTTACAGCTGCCGGAGAAGTTTCCAAAGTTGTTGAACGGGAAGAGATTCCCGCTAATGTTAGTGAAGATGCTGCGACTGAGGCGGAATTCTTTGATCAAGAGGCTTCAATCGGCACAGGGAAGAAGGCAGTTGATTTTGAGCTGCCACTAGAGGATTTATTCATGGGTGAGGAACTGGACTTGGAGTCGATAGCTTCAAGCAGCGGATTCATGAGCCGTTCCCTCTGCTCAACCAGTGATGATGACGGGTTCTTTTCAGATTGTGATTCTGAAAAAGAGGGAATGATGAAATTTCTCAACAGCTTGAATTACGAGGAGGGCGTCGATGATCTCGAGGATGAAGAATCACAACATGAAGCGGGTTCCGAGGTAAATGATCCAAAAGGTGGTAAAGATGATCAGTTTAAGTCTGATTCACAGGATGATGCATCTGGTTGGGACTCGGAGGACACGAGTAATGGATTGGAGATATTGTGGGAGCATCAGGAGTTAATAGAGCAGCTGAAAATGGAGCTGAAGAATGTTAAAGCAACTGGCCTCCCAACCATTTTAGAAGACGACGAGTGTCCAAAGGTTGTGATGGAAGATTTGAAGCCATGGAAGATCGAGGAGAAGTTCCACCATGAAGATAGGATGAGTGAGCTTCACAAGTTCTACAAGAGCTACAGGGAAAGGATGCGCAAGTTCGATATCTTGAATTACCAGAAGATGTATGCAACAAGTAAGGCAAAGTCATTTTTTCTTCACTTCCTTGGATTTTGCATAAGTTTTGGTTTTAGAAACATGGTTACAAGATCTGTTGCAGAAAGTTGAAAGCTTTATGTATAGTGAATGAGAACTTTAGAAAAGGTTGTATAGAAATAAACTAGTAAGTAAAAGTAAAATCATTATGGATGAGCTTTTAGTTGAAATAGCATATCAAGGATCCATTATGTCTTAGGCCTAGTTTGGTAACCAGGGATTGTTCTGTGATCTGAGAATACATGATTTCTTGTATTTGATTTTTTTTGTGTGAATATGGTACACAAATCATGCATTTCATCTTCCATTCATGTATTTTGGATAGTGTTCATGGATCTTAACATTACATCCAGTTATATAGGGTCATTATTGCAATCAAAACGAACGAGAAACATTTTAACATTGCACCTATTCTTACCACATCTATAAAAATATGATTTTTAGAATTCATCTGTTACACAATTTCCAATCTATTATTCGACCAACCAGATTTAGTTTGTTGTTTATAGTAACCCAGATTTAACTTTCAGGTAGGCTGCATCATTTTCTTTGCTTTATACTCATTGCGAGTGCTGTGTGAAAGCTGATCCCCCTTTTTTGCTTTGGCCATGATAGCTTATTTTGGTGCCTAATTCCATCAGATATCACTTTATTATGATTCTTTGGATTGTAATGCAAGGTTCACTTTCCATGGTCAACTAAACAGGCTTTCTGCAGTCCAAGGACCCATTTCATTCCATGTCAGCAACTCAAAAAAGCGAGGCTTCAGCTTTGGGAACCCTTTTCACTCAGAAGCTGATGCTACTCAAGCGCAAGAAGTCCAGTTCTGATCCAATGGCAAACTTCATGAAGGAATTGCAGGGTGTGTTAGAAACAGTGTACGTTGGACAAATGTGCCTCTCCTGGGAAATCCTACATTGGCAGTACCAGAAAGCATTAGAGCTCTACGATTCTGACCATTTTGGTACGAGGATGTACAACGAAGTTGCGGGCGAGTTCCAGCAGTTCCAGGTTCTGCTGCAAAGGTTCATCGAGAACGAGCCTTTTGAAGGACCGAGGTTGCAGAACTACGTCAAGAAGCGTGTTGTGATGCGGAATTTGCTCCAAGTTCCGGTCATTAGAGGTAAGAGAAGCCATGAGTCTTCCCCCCCCCCCCCCCCCCCCCCCCCCCCCCCTTTTTTTTCTGTGTGCGTTCTGGTTTAGGATCACGAAGTAGGAACTAAAATTGCATTGCGGGATGTGCAGAGGACGGGAGCAAGGATAGGAAATCAAGAAGAAGAATAAGAGGGAAGGACGGTGGGGCGATTACAAGCGACAAGCTGGTGGAGATAATGGAGGAATCAATCAGAATCATGTGGAGATTCATACGAGCCGATAAAGATTCACATACTGCAATGCATCTCAATACCCGGAAGAAAGGAACTCAAATTGAGCCTCGTGAGGATCCTGCTCATCTCGAGTTGCTCTCAGAAGTCCACACAACTCTTCAAAAGGTCATTACTTCCCCATCTTTGCTTAACAAAGTTACAATTTTACAAGTCTATTGGACAAAATAACAATCTAAAGAGTGATGCCTGCCTGCCTCTCCCTTGTTGCAGAAGGAGAAGAGGTTGAAGGAGATGATGAGGAGTGGGAGTTGCATACTGAGGAAGTTTCAGAAGAAGCAGAAGAAGCACGACGAAGAAGAAAGTAGTAGCTCGTCGGATAATGTGCTGTACTTCTTCTGTCAAGTGGACATGAAGCTGGTTGCCAGGGTTCTTAACATGTCGAAAACAACGACAGAGCAGTTGCTGTGGTGTAGGAGTAAATTGAGCAGGATCAGTTTTGTAGGGAGAAGGGTTCATGTTGACCCTTCCTTTTCTCTTTTCCCTTGCTAGTTAGCTGCTAGTACTAATGCTGCTACTGTATATTTATACCACTAGGGCAAATTTTTCTGTGTATAGTGTAGTGTATTGAGGGGAACTATCTTGTATTCCAAGGCACTTAGGGGGGAAAACACTAATTAGAGTTGAGGAAAGAAGGCACTTCTTCTGTTAGCTGGGCAAGAACTAGTGTACAGCAGCTACTGACAGAGACCTAAACCTCTGTATTGTCATTTCTTCTTCTAGAGCTTTTCTTTTAGTTTGATTTAATATGAAGAGAGTTTCAACTTTCAACCAAATGGGAGCTGGTTGACTGGAAACTTTTAGTCGGCCATCAAACCCACACGTTTGGAATACGTGGGGTGGCTGTATACGCAAAACCAGTCAACCAGTTGCCGGCTGTCCAAATGTGAAATGTGCAATCCCCAACTCCAGTGGGAAAGGAGGGGAGCAAACACTTTTCACACGCTAATTTTGCTATTTACTGTCCAAACATTTACATTGAGATTTCAAAGTAAAAGGTAATTCACTCGGATCTATATTAGATTTGTTTAGAAAGGATTATCTGCTTTATATAAATAGACGAGACGGCGAGATTTGATTGTGCGATATGATTTTAGTTGTTACAAGATATGTGCTCAACTTCGAACTTGATAGAACTATATGAATTATATTAATCATATTCAAATAGATGATAGACCCTTCTAGATAACGCTCCTAAGTTCAAGGTTCATGGTGAGTAACTTATTACTCAGGTCAATGTTTAGAACTATCATATTCCGAGGAAATAGATCTTTTTTTCTTATAACCGAGGAAAGAGATCTTTGATGACATATTGCTTTTTATTCAAGAGTTGGGGGAGACCATTATGTGTGTCAAAGTTTCTACTATATGTGCTGAAAATGCATTTTTAAGACGATTAGATAGTCAACAAAAGATTTATTATTTTTACGACAAGAATATGTTAAATGATATAGAGTGTTATTATTTTTACAACAATAATATGTTAAATGATATAGAGTGTTGCATGTGAGTTGAAACTCTTTTTTTTTCATTGTGGGCTTGACAACCATGAAATTTGTACACAACCTCAAACATATGCATACTAGCTAGTAGTATATGATCAAACAAACTTAGCAATAGATATATGTATAACACATATGCTTTTAAGGAAAATAAATTTCATTGATGTGTTCTGAATTCTTATGAGTCCTTCCTTTCAGTTGGCTCAACCTTATAAATCATATTGAACTCGTTGAGTGGTGGCTCACTTGTCAACAGTAAACGCCCAAATTGGGGTTGAGTTAGAAACACAAGTCTTGAGTCTCAACCCTTGACTAGTGTTTTCAAGCCGTTCTCGGAATGGTCGATTGGATTCTGTCTCAACCCTTGGATTCTGTCTAAGAGCCTTAAACCAGACAATTTGGGTTGTGTCTACTATTTGAATAAGTTGTTGCGCTACTATCCTCGAGAATCCATTTCAGTTCTGGCCTTAGGTTCTAGCTTTGCATAGTTATGAACTTTGGATGTGAAGACTGAAGTTATCTACTATAGATTTGCTGCGGATTCTGGAGTTGGCGTAGGCTCTGATTACAAATGGTTGATTGGGAATTTGGGATAACGTGGTTGGACTGTATACAAAATGCAGTTCCAAAGCTGAATGAAAGTGGCAATTTTGTACAATAAAGTGGTATGATTTTCAATACTCGCTTGTCTTTGGAACCCTTCTCAGCTCCTGCAAAGTAGAGGTCTAGCAAGAGTGCATTGTAATCTGCATGGTGATAGCAAATTTTTTTTTATAGTAAAAGCACCACCTTTCCTCTAGGCAATTTTTTCTTCTGGAAATGCTCTGTTCCAGACAGTTTAACTGCACGGACTTATGTAGGAAACCCGGCCCCGGGTTAGAGAGGGAGAGGGCCGGTCGGCCAAGAGGGGGAGGGAGAGAGTGGCAAACTTGTTATTTTGGGTTATTTCGGTTTACACTACTTAAGGACGCATTTCATTAGTTTTGGGAATTAAGCAATAAGAATCATAAACTATCAAATCCCTAATCTCTCTTCTCTCTCTTGTTCTTCCCCAATTCCCCCAAATCCCTAATTTCTACTCTTCTCAATCCCTAAAATCCCAATTGGAATTTCTTGTGTTCTACATCTGGTATCAGAGCCCCGATCTTCGATGAGTTCTTCCAAACTCTCGGACCTGTCATGGGCAGAATTGAGAGACCGAGCACGCAGCATCGGAAGGAGGTGGCTGGCCGACGAACCGGAGGCCGCGCGCACCGTCCCAGCGACCCCCGCCGCCGCGCGCCTGCCCCCGCCGGCCTCCCCAGCGCCGCGCGCCGCCGTTTCCCCTGCGTCGCCGGCCTGCTCCCCGCCGAGCGCCGCCGTCGCGCCCCCGGCGCCCCGCCCCGCGGCAACTGCCGCGACCTCCCCAGTCGCGCCAAGCGCCCCCCAACCCTGCCTCTCGCTGCACTCGATGGCGGGCTGGGCCTCCCCGGGGACTCTCCGTTTCCGAGCTCGAATAGAGGATCGTTTGGCCATCACTCTGGTCGACAGTGGCGCGTCCTTGAACTTTGTAGGCGAGGAATTCGCCAAGCAACTGCAACAGGTGGCCGAGGCCACCGATTCCATGGTGGTGAAGGTGGCGAATGGCTCTACACTGAGCTGTGGAGGAGTACTTCGAGGTATATCTTTGGAAATTCAGGGACTGCCTATATGCACTGATCTGTATATACTGCCAATCAAGGGATTCGATATTATTTTGGGAATTCCATGGCTACAGAGTTTGGGTCCTGTGACTAGTGATTGGCGCAGGTTGACCATGCGTTTCAAATGGAGGGATAAGGATTGGCAGCTGCAGGGCCTCACCACCGTGGCTGGTCCTATCTCGATTGAGGACTGTGGACCGGAGGGTGAAGCCGATTTGGCCATTTTGTGTTGGCCAATTGAAGACGGGGCGCCGCCGGTGCTCCATCCGGAGCTTCAGGAGCTGCTTGGCCTTTACTCGGATTTATTCGAAACTCCCACTGCCTTACCTCCTCACCGACTAGTTGATCATCAGATTCAGTTGAAAGAGGGAGTGGAGGCGGTGAATGTGAGACCGTACAGATATGGGCATTCGCAGAAGGAGGAGATCGAGAGACAGGTTTCTGAGATGCTGCTCACGGGCTTGATTAGGCCGAGCACCAGCCCGTTCTCATCACCGGTGTTGTTAGTGAGGAAGAAGGATGGGACCTGGCGCTTCTGCACGGATTATCGGGCTCTGAATGCAGCCACAGTGAAGGATCGCTTTCCCATCCCGACAGTGGATGATATGTTGGATGAGCTTCATGGATCCCGCTATTTCTCGAAGCTGGATTTGCGGGCAGGTTATCACCAGATCCGGATGCAGGAGGAGGATGTCCATAAGACGGCGTTTCGCACTCATAACGGGCACTATGAGTACTTGGTGATGCCCTTCGGATTATGCAATGCGCCGTCCACCTTCCAGGCTGCCATGAATGATATTTTTCGGCCCCTGCTGCGCCGGTATGTCCTGGTTTTCTTCGATGATATTCTGATTTACAGCCCTTCTTGGGCAGAACACTTGGCTCATTTGCAGGCAGTATTCGAGGTTCTACGGGCAAATCAGTACTATATCAAGGCATCCAAGTGCGAGTTCGGGGTGCAGGAGGTGGAGTATTTGGGTCACATGGTGACTCCGCAGGGTGTGAAGGTGAACCAGGCCAAGATTCAGGCCATGGTAGACTGGCCGGTTCCCACGACGGTGACGGAGTTGCGTGGTTTTCTGGGTCTGACCGGGTATTACCGGAAGTTTGTGCAGGGGTACAGCATGATCGCCCGGCCATTGACGGATTTACTGAAGAAGGGGGGGTTTGCATGGTCACCAGCAGCGGAGGCTGCATTTCAGCGGCTGAAGCAGGCTATGACGACCACTCCGACGCTAGCCATGCCGGACTTCTCCAAGCCATTTGTGATCGAGGCGGATGCATCGGGCCGGGGAATCGGGGCGGTGTTATCTCAGGACCGCCATCCCATTGCCTTCATGAGCAAGACACTAGCCCCTTCCAAGGAGGCTTGGTCTACGTATAAGAAGGAAATGCAGGCGATTATTACAGCAGTGCAGACCTGGCGGCCATATCTCCTGGGGCAGAAGTTTCACATTTACACCGATCACCAGAGCTTGAAGCACCTCCTCGAGCAGCGGGTGTCTACTCCGGATCAGCACAAGTGGGTATCGAAGCTGTTAGGCTACGATTATGAGATCCACTATCGACCGGGACCCACTAATGTGGTGGCGGATGGGTTATCGAGGAAGCCGGGCAGCGAGATCCTCGCCGCAGTGACAGGGCCTGTTCCGCAGTTTTGGGATGAGTTACGGGCATCCATGGAGACCAGTCAGTATTTGCAGGATTGCCGGGAAATCGCCGTGAGCGATAACCCAGGTCATTATTTATTTCGGCAGGGGCTGGTGACGTTCAAGGGTCGAGTCGTTCTCCCTCCGGGCTCGAACCTGGTCACTTCGGTACTTCAGGAGTTCCATGACTCGCCGTTGGGAGGGCATTCCGGCGCCGAGAGGACGCTTCGCAGGATTAAGGGCCATTTTTACTGGCCCAGGATGGCACAGGCAGTGCGGGACTATGTGGAGTCATGCGATACATGCCAGAGAGTGAAGTTGTCTTACCTGCGACCCGCCGGCCTGCTACAGCCGATGCCGGTTCCGGAACGGGTATGGGAGGACATCAGCATGGACTTCATAGTGGGGTTGCCCCCGTCAGGTGGGAAGACAGTTTTGTTCGTAGTAGTGGATCGGCTCACGAAATATGCTCATTTTATGCCTTTGGCGCACCCGTACACGGCCAAGATGGTGGCCGAGCAGTTTGTCTTGGGAGTGGTGCGACATCACGGATTTCCCAGGTCTATTGTCAGTGATCGTGACCCGGTTTTCTTGAGCAGGTTTTGGCAGGAGGTTTTCGCCATGGCACGGACTGTACTACGCATGAGTTCGGCCTACCATCCACAGACTGATGGACAGACAGAGATAGTTAACAAGTACCTGGAGCAGTATCTGAGGTGCTTTACCCACCAGCAGCCGCGGCAGTGGCTGGCCATGCTTCCTTGGGCGGAATTGTGGTATAATACCACATTTCACAGGTCTATTAAGATGACACCGTTCGAGGCGTTGTATGGGAGGTCACCACCGACATTGGTACAGTACAGAGGCGGGTCGAGCTCTGGAGCAGTTGAGGACTAATTTGGCTACAGCGTCCAATAGGATGAAGCAGGCCGAGGATGCAGGGCGGCGGGAAGAGGAGTTTGAGGTGGGTGACTGGGTTCTGTTGAGGTTGCACCCCTACCGGCAGTCCTCGGTTTTCAGGCGGGCATACCAGAAGCTGGCAGCGAGGTACTTCGGGCCGTACGAGATCATCCTCAAGGTCAACCCCGTTGCCTATCGACTACAGCTGCCTGCAGGTTCGCGCATACACCCGGTGTTCCACATTTCCTTACTGAAGAAGTACCGGGGCCAGGCGGACAGGGTGACGTCGACGGCTCCTCCGGTGACGGCGGATGGTGACTTGGAGCTCGTTCCTCTCAAGGTACTAGAGACCCGGTGGACAAAAAGAGGAGGGCGGCTGGTGGAAGAGAGCTTGGTGCAGTGGAAGCATGTGGAACCGGACGATGCTACTTGGGAGGAGTCAGAGGTGCTACGCCAGAGATTCCCAGCCTTCGACATCGAGGCCGATGTCGATTCTGAAGGAGGAGGGGATGTAGGAAACCCGGCCCCGGGTTAGAGAGGGAGAGGGCCGGTCGGCCAAGAGGGGGAGGGAGAGAGTGGCAAACTTGTTATTTTGGGTTATTTCGGTTTACACTACTTAAGGACGCATTTCATTAGTTTTGGGAATTAAGCAATAAGAATCATAAACTATCAAATCCCTAATCTCTCTTCTCTCTCTTGTTCTTCCCCAATTCCCCCAAATCCCTAATTTCTACTCTTCTCAATCCCTAAAATCCCAATTGGAATTTCTTGTGTTCTACAACTTAGGTTATGGAACAGACCTTTGGCCACACTATGAACATCCATGGATGTTGGTTTTTGATAATAGTTGTTGTCAATGCTGGTGCAGATTCCTCATTTGAGACCTGCCGAATACAAGAGGTCAAGACTGTCTAGGAACCGCAGGACCGTGAATCGCTCATATGGTGGTGTATTGTCTGGTGGTGCTGTCAGGGAGAGGTAACCTCCACCAGTTTTTCCTTTCCATTGTTTTGATTCCAACTTGAGGTTTTTCTAAGAAGAAACATCTGACTTGAGTTTGAACTTAAACCACGGTTTTATAGGATTATTCGAGCTTTTTTTATGGAAGAGCAGAAGATTGTGAAGAAGGTTTTGAAGATTCAGCAGGCGAAGGAAAAGCAGGCCTCGAAGAGCTAAGAGCTGACAGCCTTAGGGTGGGAGAGTCCTTTGGGAGTTTACAAGACACAAAGTTTGAAAGGAATTTTGATGTAATTGTTGAGGGTGTTATGATTACACAGAGTGTTGGATGTACCTCAACATTTAGCACGTTTTGGTGCCCTTCGCGGCACCAAGTTATGCTGTTTTTCATTATTATCTCTTTGAGGGAATGAGATATACTTTGTTGAGAGTATTATGAATGTGCCTAGTTATGCAGTAAACGATACTTAAATGTGATTCCCAATTCAGTTGTAGCAAGAATATCAAACTCAACTTCCATAAAAGATATCATGCATGGCCGAAATGCTTAGAACTCTGCCTTAGTAGATGGATTATACTTCCCTGCTTCATTAGGCTGTGTACATGAATGGTTCTGTTAGTAGAGTAGGCTGAAATTGCATCCCATTACTCGACTGAACTTAGTGCTCTCTCATTTTATTTCATTGAGCAAGAATACCCACTTCATGGCCTACCTACTTCAGTAGGCTGTGTACATTAATTTGTTTGTTAGTAGAGTGGGCTAAATTGCAATTTGCATCCCATTAGTGAACTGAACTTAGTGCTCTCTTAGTTTGTTTCACCAGACAGATTCAAGCTATACATGAATGTTAGGATGAAGTGGGCTGATAGCATCTTTGCATGTGGCTGATACTATAGAGTATAGTGATACGCCATGGTCATGGAATGATTTGGTAGAGGAAAAACTAAAAAAAATTTTTTTTTGTCAAGAGTGGGATTTGAACCCACGCCCTTTCGGACCAGTACCTGAAACTAGCGCCTTAGACCAACTCGGCCATCTTGACATTGATGTTTAATCACGATAACCGGTGTTAAAAACTATATGCTGAAGCATCAGACACGTAAGACATGGAGGATAAATTGAAATAGGAATATAGCAAGGGGACTTTAGTTATGGTCATTTTCTTTGTAAGGACAAAAAAAAGTAGGAAGTAGGAACCACTATTTGATGAAGACTAAAAATAGTTATCCTATTATGATATTATATATATCATGGATGATAAAAAAAAAACAAATCTTTACTAAAAGTATTTATTCGTCAAGTTTGTAAATTAATATATATAAAGCTCAAACATGTTTACTGTTGCCTAATACTTCCATTTGATTGGACCATCTATTTCTTAATACATTCATTTGATTGAACCATGTTTATGGGCTTTTATCATGTATCCGCTCCGTTTTATGTTTGTACCCAATTAATTGGCGAAACTAAAAGGAAAGACAATTTTAAGTATTATGGGAGAAGATAAGACTTTGGGGTAGAAAAGTGAATGGGTGGAGCAAGATTGTCAAACTGGTTAGCAAGTGGTATGATTTGAATGGGATACATAATATATAAAAAAATATATAAAAATATTAACATAATATAAAAATATAAAAATTATTAACATTCAGTGAACATATGTGAATACAATCTACATTCATATATTGTTTTAACAAAATATATTGAAATATGACAAATCAATAACATTAACTGAATTCAATAATCATATATAAAACATAATTGAATACAATCTACATTCATATATAAATAAAATAAAATATTACAAATAAAATAAAAAATACTCATATTTAAATATAATATTTAACGTGAACATCCGAATGTTTATATTTGAACCCAACAAATAGCATCAACATTTAATTTTCAAATTCATGATCATGTAATAAATAAAATATTAAATTTTCTAAAATGACATTAGTTTGTTTAGAGGTCAGAAATCGATCATACCAATAATATTCCAACCATTTTCCTAACCGACACCAATTATACTCACTTTTACCGTCTGACATCCATCTACATGACAACCATGGGTAGAGGCGAGTATGCCATGCATCATCCGCAACATACTCAAGAGAAAATTTGACATAGATGATGTAAATTAAAAATGAAACAACTAATATCAATACAAGTATGTCATCGTCCGCGGCACAGCGCGGGTTGTTTTTTTTCTAGTTTTATTTGTAAATGTGATTAAACTTACTGTTACTTTTTGCATGACTTATAACTCAAATTCATAATCCTAACTCTTGCTACTATAACTTCCACAGTACAATTTCCCAAAGTACATAACCCTAATATAATTCATTCATCAAAAGCATCCGGATTGTCTTTAATCATCATGATCAAATTATTTATTCTTGTATCTCCTTCTCTTGATTCAAACCCATAAGTACTTTACAAGCTTATGATATATGAAATCAAACAAATAAACCAAATTTGTTCCAACATTAAACTCTCCCAAACCGCCCAGTGCTCCATCAAAAGTTTATCTTGCCATCAAAAGTCTGCCCAAACTGCCAATTCGCCGGCGCCACATCACGAAACACCTTGAACGCCCCGTCGCTCGTCACCACCTGAAAGGTCAACGCCTGGCCCCTCAAGTCAACCCCCTTGGTGTCCCACTTCTGCCCCCAATTCCTCTGCATCTGAATCCAACCCGTATTTGACCCTTTTACCCTCACGTTCTTCACGTCGCCGGCCCCGCCAACGTTGTAAACCAGCACCAGGTTCCAGTTCGGGTTCCCGGTGATCTCGAACTTCACGCCTCCCTGTTTCCCGCACCGGACCCGGCGGTAGCTGACGTGGACGACGCCGGCGACGGCGGGGGCCATCTTCACGAACATGGGCATGGTCAGGTCGAAGTGCATCGCCGGCGGGTCGCACCAGCCGCCGGTGGAGTGTGTCACGACCCGAAATGTCGTGACCGTGTTGATCGTCTGAAGAACGCTGCCATCTGGTTGTCTTGCCATGAGAAGGGTAAAGGGGGCGACATTAGCGATAAGGCGTTGTCTGCCTGTGCATCGCATCTAGCCGAGTCAGGATGTGGCTATGAAGGGGATGGTTGCAAGAGAAGGCACAACTGGTCGGAGGCTATTGCCGTCTCCCTGATGAGCCCAAGGCAGGGCGAAACCAGTTGGCATGCGTATGCAGAGAGGCTGGTCTTGAGGATTGAGTGCACCTCAAGACGCCGCACGGACTTCGGAAGTCTATGTCCGTGACAAATGGTATCAGAGCCTGGTTAGGCTGAAGAGCCTAGTTCCTCTCTCAGTACGGCATAGGTCGTGTATGGGCCGACCCTATGCCCGAATGAGAGGCGGTCCTGGGTGAGCATATCAGGCGGTCCGGACGCAGAGACACATGTGTTGCGCCGTTGTGGGGGACCTCGACAGGCTGAAGATGCAGCGGCCGAGAATGCCGTTCAACCGAGGAACTAACGCTAGCAAGAGCGTAGGGTGAAGGTCGATTGAGGTACAAACGCTGGGAGTAGCGTAGGGTGAAGGTCGACTGAGGTACTAGCGCAGCAGAAGCAAAGAGTGAAGGTTGATGTCGAGGGGCGAAGCGGTATGTGCGCGGGGCACAGCAGGCTAGCGCGAGAGACGCGACCGGAGCCTGTCTATCAGAGGATGGTATCGTATGCGGACGCCCACAATTGGTTCGAGAGTTGCAATACATGCTGCGGAGAGAAGCATTCTTCACCAGCACGAGGACGTGCTGCATTATGAGTGGTGGAGAATGTCACGACCCGAAATGTCGTGACCGTGTTGATCGTCTGAAGAACGCTGCCATCTGGTTGTCTTGCCATGAGAAGGGTAAAGGGGGCGACATTAGCGATAAGGCGTTGTCTGCCTGTGCATCGCATCTAGCCGAGTCAGGATGTGGCTATGAAGGGGATGGTTGCAAGAGAAGGCACAACTGGTCGGAGGCTATTGCCGTCTCCCTGATGAGCCCAAGGCAGGGCGAGACCAGTTGGCATGCGTATGCAGAGAGGCTGGTCTTGAGGATTGAGTGCACCTCAAGACGCCGCACGGACTTCGGAAGTCTATGTCCGTGACAAGTGCGGCGGGCAGAGGTTTGTGGCGGTGATTTGGATTGTGGGCCCGTTTTGGTAGCAGCCTTTCCACGTGGCGTCGTTGACGCATTTCAGCTCGTAGCATGCTCCGCAGGTCAGCCCGTCGTTGAAGAGCGGAGTGCTGAGGGCCGCCGTCTCGACGCCGTAGCCTTTCTGGAATACGTCGCCGTATCCGCATGCTCCCTCTGTGTTTGAGAAGTTTACAAATTTTAAGGTTCTAAATCTAGTCATTTACAAATTAAATTGATAATGATGACATTTACAGAATTGCTAATACTCATATTACATATATATTTTAAAAAAACTTTGATATAATTAAGAAACTAAATATTATGAAACTTACGAATGTTTTGTTATATTTTTTACATCTCAAGAATTTCATGTATACGATAGACCGATTAGAGTTAGACGAGATTCAAATCAATAATAATTTTAAAATTATCATTGTAATTTGGATATCCTTCTCAGGGTTCTTTTTGAGACTCAAATCAATCAGCTGAAAATTATCATTTTAATTTGGACATCGTAAAATCAAATTATATTATCTATTGAAATTATATCTAGCTATACGAAACCACACGGTATACAAAAAATTAGTTTGCTAACCCATTTGATGTATGTAACTACACAATTGCACTATCGGTGTTGATTCAAGATAAATTGTGATTATTATTATAGATAAATTGATGAAAACTTACGGAGTGTATCTCCTGCAGACATGTCGCCATAAAATGTTGCATGGGCATCCTGCCACGTCCAATCATTACCGTCTTGAGTACTAATTGTCGTCACCTTCCCATGCACAACCATATTAATTTGTAAACTTCCGGTCAACAACACAATTATCGGACACAACACGAATATCTTAAAGAGATAAACCATAGTTTTAAGTTTCGTACGTAATAGATTATAATATCTAAGATGCAAATTATATTACTGAAGAAGTGATTATATTACGTTTAGCTATATGGCTAAGGTGTTTGGTAAAGTTGAAATTTATAGGATTAATCCTCTAGTAGATGAAACAATGGGGAGGTAAATTAGGGAAGAAATATATATAATTAATGGAAGGCACACCTCAATCTTATATTCGAAACATTTATTTTCTTCTCATAAATTCCTTTTTTGTTTGGAATTTTTTTAATTAATTATATCGAGTAATAAGGAAACTATATAATAATATTCCAAAATGAAAATTGTGCATGTATATTAACTTAATCAAATTCTTACCAAGTGTTTGATTTTGCTTTGTGATAAGGTGACCAAGTTTTGGTAAAGATTTGGTGGACCATTAAGGTCTAAGGATATGTTTTAGTGTGTTTTTTTAGCAAATTATTGAATCTATATACTTCTTATCGTATGATTAATTTTTATATTATTTCATATGAGGGTATGAAGTTGAGGTGTTAGATAGAACATGTCAAGGCAATATGAATTCTACAATTGAGAAGTTATAATTCATAAGTGAACATCGCAGTGGTTATGCATAAAGAAGTTTGTATACTATAAGGTAAATATGAAAGTAACATATATTAGTTGACATTCTTGGACCTAGTGCTTCTTGTCTCATGACACCAAGTGTATTTATTATAAAGTCGTAGCTAGTTTGCCTGTGGAGTTAATTAGTTATGTAAGGACTTGACTAATTTGATATAAGATTTTGGAGAGCGGATCCCATGACTAAGTGGAGTCCTTAGTCACTTGACTAAGCCCCTCCTAGCCATTAGATTCGGACACTTCAATCCAATGGTTAAAAAGTGGGAAGGACTATTTAATTAATGACAAGGGTAGTTTGGGTATTATGGAAAATTAAGAAGTATACAAACCGGATTTACAATCAGTACAAACCATACAAACAGTACAAACTAGAGCGACAAAATATACAAACAAATTTACAAACATTACAAACGTATGAACTGTACAAACAATACAAACTAGACCGGCAAACAATGCAAACCATACAAAAAGAAAAAACAATCGGGTTGACTTTGGAGGCTCTATCCCTATATAGAGGGGCTCCTTCCCAAAGTCAACCCGGGTGTTTTTTAGATATACAAACATGGTGGACAAAAATGACTAACTAGACCAAAAATTCATACAAACTGGAAAAACACCCGGGTTGACTTTGGAGGCTTCATCCCTATATAGAGGGCTTCGTCTCAAAGTCAACCCGGTGGTTTTTTAGACATACAAACATTACGAACATGGTGGACAAAAATGACAAACTAGACCGACAATCCATACGAACTGGAAAAAAACACCCGGGTTGACTTTGGAGGCTTCATCCCTATATAGAGGAGTTTCATCCAAAAGTCAACCAGGTTGTTTTTTAGGCATAACAAACATTACAAACATGGTTGACAAAAATGATAAACATGGTGCACAAAAATAACAAAGTTTACAAACATTACAAAAAAACCGACAAACATTACAAAATAACAAAGCGTACAAACATTACAAAATAACCCGACAAACAGTACAAAGCATACTGACCGTACAAAATGTCACTAAAAATGACAAACAATACAAACCTAATCTATACAAACATTACAAAATAGGTCAGCAAACATCACAAATCCAACACTGTCGGCGGGAAATTTCCTCCGGTTCCCAGAAAACACACACTCTCTCTCTTACGTGGGATAATTCCCTTTCCCACAAAAAAACGCCCACCTCTCTCTCTCCCCCCTCTCTCCGTGCATGCTTTTTCCATTCCCACTACAATTCACCAGCCACCGGCGGAAGGCAGTAGCCGGACCGGAAATCCAAGCTGGAAGGCAGTAGCGGGAGACAGGAGGAGATTAGCTTCATTGTCCTTCATTAAATTGGATTAATGTGTGCCATTGGATTTTAATGAACTTCAATGGCTGAGATTGGCTTAGTCATGTGACTAAGAGACCCCCCTAGTCACCTGATCTTGGCCCAAGATTTTGTTTGCTTCCATCGCAGGAAGGCGATAAATCTAAACCCCTTGATGATTAACTACTAAATAAAATGAGTTGTTCAGGCTTGAACAAACTCACACATATAAATGTGGATTGTAGTTGGTTTGATAAACTACACTGGATCAATGAATAAACGCACTCTCGCTGAATGAATAATGACTAATCCTAGATCCGATCCATAAACAAGATAGGCTCATACATATAAAAACCTTGCCCACAAAGTTGTATTGGTTAGCAGAATCCTTTAGTCTTTCATGATCACTTAAGGTGCCATGTGTTGCTAGGCCTAAACTATCCAAATGGATGTCATAAATCAAACTTAAACAACACCCAACCCAACTCCATGCGTCCTTAGATAAGTCCACCAAAGTAAACCAACAACCAAACTTTTTAGTACCATTTAGAAAAGAAGTAAAACATATGTGATCATTTTGTTCTATTCTTCATGTACGATTACCTCCTAGTAGGGGTGGGCATTGGGTGGGTTGGGTGGATTTTGACCATAAAATGCACCCACCCGCGCTTAAACGGATTGATAATTTTTAACCCACCACCCACCCACATTTAGTCTCGGGTTGGGTCGGGCGGATGGTGGATGATGCGGGTGGGTTTGTGGGTTCATCCACATCACAATGTATATAATATTATAAAGGAGTCAACTTGACATGATAATAGGTGAAGAGAGTTATCGGGGGAAACAAGAAGATGAAATAGGGCGAAAAATGTCGAATTAGTTCTTAAATTGGATAGAAATTTTATTATGAAAGAGTTTTCTACAGATTGAGATGATTATCAGGTGCAAGGAACTAAGGAAAATAATTATACAAAGGAAAGAGCGGTGATGTAGGCACAAGAATTAGAGGAAAAAATAAAGGGAAGAAGAGGAGATCGATATTTGGAAGGTTGGCTTTGAGGTTCAAACTCCAGGAGCAGTCCTAGTTTATGTCTAACGTCTCCACTCTCCCCTCTCTAGCGCCAACGACTTTGATCTTTTTTGTTGTTGGGTTGAGCGGGTCACCCGCGCACCCACCCACAACCCATCCACCACCCGGCGGATGGCTCCCAGCGCAATCCGTCACCCACCCACAAATCCACCCATTTAACAAAATTCGGGTCAAATGCGGGTGAGTCGGCCCAAACCCGCGGATGATCCGCCCGCATGCCCAGCCCTACCTCCTAGGCTCCTACTAACTAGGAGGATTGAACCTACGCACAAGGGCCTAAAGATTATTTGGAACGTACAGAGATATGATTCGTTCTCCTACAAATCCCTGACTTCTTTGTTTTTTTCTTTATTGTTGCGATCGTACTAACTGCTGCCAATTAACAAACACAATATCCCTCACCCCCTCTGTTTCGCCAAATTTACCCCTACAGTTTGTTCCCCTCGTTCTCGAACCTTGGATCCCTTCATAGGGGCAATATGGTCATAACGGAAAAAACAGGCAAACAACAGCAGCAGCTAGCAGAGACTATTTTAATGAGACAAACATACCTTACCACCCATATATACACACAAAACAGCCTTCCCCCCCTTTTTCTCTTACAGTCTCTGTTCCATTGCAATGCCTTCTCAGCGAAGCAGAAGCTCTACTGAATCGATCAATTTTTAGAGTGTGTGAAAATCAATCCGAGTTTCTTTGGGCTCTCCTTTCTCACAATCCAAACCAGCCTGATTGATCGATCAAGAGCGTAGTACTAGATTTTGATTTTCGTTCAGCTGATCAGAGCAATGGCCTGCGAAATTGCTGCAGAATCTATTTCCGTTCGAGAGAATTAGGGTTTCAGAAGCGATGAATCAGGTGATTCTGCTCGTTTCCTCTGCAAGAGAGCTGTTTGTTTCACGAGAAAATCAATCTTGTTTTTATCTGGATGTTGAACGGTGAAATGATCTGTTTGCAGGAGTCAGTAAGCAGGTGTGTTCTCGGAAACCGACCTAACTCTGAAATCGGAGACGGAACCGTTGAAGGAGGACAATGCAGCTCCGAAATCGGCGGCGCCAAAGGGGGACTGCTTGAAGCTTCTCCCGACGACGGATTCGAGAAGATACTCCTGAAATCCATCCTAGAAGACGACAAGGCCCAGCTCAAATCTCTGTGGTTGCCGTTAACGACGTCGTCGGAGACGATGAAGTTGGACAGCAGAAACGCCGTCGTCGCTGCGGCGCTCGTCAAGAGAGACCGGGCCGTGCTCTCGAAGCTTCTCCACATGTGCTGCATCTTTGACGCCGTGG